GCCGGGCGCAGCGTCCGCGAGGCCAGTTTCTGCAAGCGAACCGGAAGCGGGGGTGCGCTCACCAGGCCGGCTGTAAGGAGAACGGGGAGCCGGGGCAGGGGTCGGCCAGAGTGCGGGGAGGGGGCCCCCGCTGCGGGCGGGCGCACAGCGCCCCGTGACCCAATGTTTCCACGCCCAGGCGCCGGCCCACAAGACCTAAAAACAAATATTTGTGTAAAAACAAGTGCACGAGCGCTCACAGCAGCCTCACTCCCAGTGACCAAGAAGCAAAAGCCACGCAAGTATCCCTCAGCGATGCAGGAACAGACACCACGCGGTCCGCCCACCCCGTGGACAACTACCCATCCGGGTCCCGACACCCGCTGCAGCAGGAGGGACCCTGGAAGGCGCCGAAGACCCGGCACGGGAGGTGCCCTTTGTGTGAAAATCCCAGAGGCACATCCCTACGCCAGAAGCTGGGGCCCTCGCCAAGGCCGGGGGTGGGGGAGCGTCGGGGGGGCGGAGGCTGGCCGCGGAGGGTACAGGCTTCTTTCTGGGGTGACGAGCGGGTTCTGGGATGAAGTAGCGCTGGCAGTTGCTCGGCTTGGAGAATATACTAAAAAAGCACTGAACTGTGTGCTTTAAAAGGATGAATTTTATGTGCAAATTAGATCTCAATAAAAAGGAGAAAGAATACTTAGGGTGGGGTGGTTAACCGCTTGATGGATTTACTCTGTCATCACCCTAAATACGAACAAGGCCGCTCTCCCAAGCAACACACCCAGCTAACAAGGCAGGCCCCGCTCCGCGGCACTGCCGAGCGAGCAGCTTCGCGTTAATGAAGTGGGCTTGGGAGTCATAAGGACGTATGGCTTTTGGGACAATTTGCGGTGCCAGTGTTTTATGAATTCTGTCTGGCTTTCAAAATCTGCCCACATGAGGAAGGTCAGTGAACTGCGCCCCGCCCCCACAACACAGCTCCCGCCCACAGGTGTGCGGTCAGCGCCCGGGGCCCAGCCTCCGGTCAGTGCTGGACGGTCCACCAGCCTGGGCCTGAGGGCTCCACAGCGACCACCGTGAGGACCGCAGCCCCAGGGACACGCAGCCACGGGCTCCTGGCTTAACACGATGGGTATTTAGAAGAACAGAAAACTGGCGTTAGAGGGAATCCCCGTAACCAAGATGCCGTGACTCTCTAACAAGGAGGGTGGCGCCCGCTGGCCTTTCCACGCCCCGTCAGGGAAGGACCCCAGGATGCCGCCAGCGCCAACCTTATGCCGACGCCGTGCGGAAGGGCGGGAGGGACGCCGCCGCCCCCTGTGCGGGAGGGGGTCAGTCTCACCAGCAACTCTGAGATGTGGACACCACGTCAAAAATAATTCTCCAGCGACTCCGAGCGTTTTACCAACGACAACAGATTTGAAATGCCTTTTGGAGGCAATGACAGGGAATTAAATAGGTTTCTAGGGCTGTAAAGTGTTGTATTGCTTCAGAAAGTGCTACACTGCTCGCTCGTTGCCTCGGAAGCACGGAAGGGAAGCTCAGCGCGGAGCGGCTTAGTCACGCACCGGAGCCGCCCCGCGGAGCTGGGCGCCCAGCACCCGCGGAGTCCGAGCGCCGGGAGGAAGCGGCGCGTCCCCGCCAGCCCTGACCCGGGCGCGAGCCGCCTCCGGCGCAGGGTTGGCCCTGAGCCGGGACGCCAGACCCTGGGAGCACATTCCACCTGCCACGGATGATCCTCCCGTGAAATAACGCACAGGCTCTAATTAGTTTTTAATTGCTTGCTAAATCAGTCCGATTTTATTCAAAATGGCCTTTAAAGAGCGATGCACCAAGATCCGTTCCAACATTTCAGGGAAGAGGTTGCCAGCCCACCTGGCCCGAAAGCCGAGCCGAGCCCCAGAGAGGCTACTGGCCGGCCAGCCGTGACCTCACGCCCCTTTATTCGAATGTTCCAGAAATGTGCTCACGGTCAAACACCAGCCCTTCCAGGAAAGCCTTGGGCACAAACAAGATAGAGAAACTCGGAAACGCAACCCAGCCAACAGCTGGTGGCGCTGCGGGCAGAGTCCCTACTCCCTTTAGAAATGGTTCCAGCCCGAGGACTCCAGACGTCCAGGCTGAGTGACAAGGGTCAGATGTACTCTCATTCCTTAAATGGCGAGAAAACTGGGCGGGAGGTGGTGGGTCCCAGTCAGCAGACGACCGGCCGTGTGGCCGGCACCCCTGGGAAGGGGAGGGCGGGCTCGGCAGCCCTGCCAGCTCGCGGCCTGAGGGGTGTCCGGGCCCCCACACACAGGGGCGCCGCCCTGTGACTGACTGAGCTGAGAAGGCAGGAGCTGGCTCAGAGGCCACGGCGCCCGCCCCGCCAGGCCGTGTCCCGGAGGGAGAGGCGGACGGAGAAGGGAGCCCCAGACACCCGCAGAGGGTCCGCAGGACGGGTTGAGTCCCCACCTGTGTGCGTGAGAGAAGCGACTGCCCAACTGCCCAAGGCCAGGGACACAGGATGGGCAGAAACATGTCACTCCTCCCAGCCAAAGGGAGACGACTTTATAACACACGAGTCACCAGATGGAATTCTAACCAAAAGGGGGGAGGGGTCAATCAGCCCCAAACTACAAGCTGCCCTGGATGGGCCCAAACAGAGCTTAGAAGGAAACACCAAAAGGCTCCACTGATACCAGACAGCTGCACTCCAGACAGAGAACCACCGCTGCTCAGAGGGACAAAGCACATTCCAGCGGTAACATAAAACTCACAACGCTGAGCATCCAATCAGGAGTAAGCAGGCAGCGAAGAAACAGGGAAATACTACCCATGGCCAAGAGGAAAATTAATCCATAGGAACAGAGCTGGAAGCAACAGAGATGATAAAGTTAGCAACTAAAGATACTGAAACAGGTATCATAAACATGTTCTACACGTTCAAGGTCAAAATGCAAGGTCTGGCACAAATAACGCCCCTTTTTTATTACAAAATCTTCCTTTTTTAAAGATTTCATGTATTTATTTTTAGAGAGAGGGGAAGGAAAGGAGAAAGAGCAGGAGAGAAATATCAGCATGTGGTTGCCTCTCGTACACCCCCACTGGGGACCTGGCCCACAACCCAGGCCTGTGCCCCGACCGGGAATCGAACCAGCAGCCTTGTGGTTCAGAGGCTGGCGCTCAGTCCACGGAGCCCCACCAGCCAGGCCTTATTACTAAATCTTTTATTACAAAATCACAGGCATGTAATTCTGTAACATTAAAGTATCATATTCGAGCACACCATATGGCATTTTTGGTGAAACGTCCAAATTAAAACTAAATTACTACAGCCATATCACTGCCCCACCCGAGGCTGAACCCAAACACACCCACGTCGGAACCTGCGGCACGTTCACGGAGCAGGGAGCTGAGGGAGGCCGTTCTAAAGAGTCTCAAAGACAACGGTCCTATCAGGTGCGGAGCTTGGCCACAGCGCGAACTCAAGGTCACACTGAGGGCAGACCTCAAGGCCAGGACCACCAACGTAACGTGCACAGAAGACGGCCCTTTCCCGATCAGTGTCTGCACCGCAAATGCCCCCTCCACGCCCCCCGGGGTCCGCGCTCTGCCCCCCACCACGCCGCGCCCTCTGCGGCGCTCGGCGCTGCCCCGCTGAGCTCAGGTGGACCCCGTCCCCCAGAGACATCAGGCCTGTTCACTGACGACTGGTGGCAGGAATGAGCGAGAGAAGCCTAGGCTTCAACCAAGAGGGAAATGAAAGCTGCAGACACATCGGCCACGTGACTGCGAGGAGAGGGTGCCGGTGGTGCACGCCTGGGCTGGCCGCGCCCCGGCTACGGGACGGGAGGGGAGTCTCGGCCCCAGCAGAGGGCGGCGGTGCAAGTGGAAAGCCAGCCTGGTTTTCGGAGGTTGAATAGATGGTTTTCGGTTGGCATTTGGCTCAAGTTGGAGCAGAATTCATGAGCATTACTTTTGCAACAGGATTTCAAAAGAAAGGAAGGAAAATGCCTCTCAGAGGTCAAACATCTTTCGGGAATCCTTCCACATTTAGTAGCATCTGAAAAGAGTTATAATGTATTCAAATTAAAACCAACCAACCAACCACACCAAGGAGGAAATGAAATACTCTTTCTGAAATACTAACAAGTCATCAAACTGTTTGTATTTCAAAGGATCACTCTGGCCCATAGCACACTTGGAAAAACACAAGATTCAATTTATCACTTCATCAGCATAATTTTAATCAGTAGACATAGTAATGTCACATATAATTCCTTTCAATATAAATATTTTTAAAAGTTGGGTTTCATATACGATGTCAAGAGCACAGAGCGGGCGTGGTTTGCACAGGCTGTCATTTGTGTGTGAGACTCGGTCAGAGCCTGGCCGTGGGGAAGGGGCGCGGCCCGGTCAAAGGGCCGCTACGGGAAGAAGCTCCTTCAGTTCAGTCGGCGCCCTCAGCAGCAGCGCGGCGGACGCACTGGCTCCGCACAGCACACTTCGCTTCTGCTGCGGACCTGCTGCCCCATCTCCTCTGTTTTCACGGTGACATGGTCTGGCACAGAAACACGGCCCCTCAGACCCTCGGCAGAGTTGGTGAGGCAGGAAACGGCCCCGTCAGCACGGCTGTTCTCCTAGGGCAAGCACGGCACCGAAGCACCTGGACACCAGACTGGGGAGCAGGGGCAGGGTGGGAGCCAGCGCCGCTGAGGCCGCCTGCACGCATGCGCTCCGCCCCACGTTCCCGGACGCGCCCTGCTCTCTGGCGCGCTGCACCATCAAACTGCGCTCACGTGGGAGTTACTGACAGGCCCGACATCAGAGAACCGTGCAAGTTTCCAGATACATAATCTGCAAGTAGTTTCTATTTTATATGACCTCATCTAAAGACAGAATGTTCTTTGCGCACCTGTGGGGAGAAATCACGTGTCACGCGAACGCCATGGAACAGATCAGGCACGGCCAGGAAGCGCGCTGAGGTGGCCACGCGGCCCGCGGGCCGATCCTGCACTCGGCCGGCCGTGCACGTGGGGTCAGAAGAGAAAGGTGCCGAAGCTGCCCTTCCCGTTCCACCTGAACTGGTTCCCCACGATGCACGCGAACATCTCCTGCGCCATCAGGCTGTCGTCCGCCCGTGTGATCCCCAGCTCGCTCAGCCTCTTCTTCTTCAGCTGGCCTTTCTGCGTGGAGGCGGCCACCAGCTCGCTGAAGATCTCGCAGTTGCCTTCGACCTGCTCCAAGGGGCCAGTCCGACCGCCGGGCGCCGCTTTCCCAGCCGCGCACTCGATCAGCTCCTCCAGGTCCACCCGTCCAGCCGCCTCAGCCTCCCCGCGGGTCTGCGTCTTTGGGGCTTTATTTTCTGGAGAAGCAAACAAAGATCATTATGCAAACAAGCCCGACCCAACCAAAGCCTGCACTCACAGGCGACCAGAGCCTGTGAGCTCCCCCTGCCCGGGTCCCTGCTGCTGCCCTCTTGCGGGAAGCGGGCAGCAGCCGCCCACGGCGGCCGTCCCCTGCAATGAGCCCCCCGGCCCTCGGCCAGGGCCGCCCCAGCAGCTCCCCAGACGCGCCTGCGGGAGCCCCCTGCACAGCGCTGCGTCAGGGGCTCCACAGCCCCTGCCGTCACCTCCCTAACAGGCAGGTGGCAAAGGGTTTTTGCAGATGTGATAAAGGTGACTAATTAGGGGCTCTCAAGAGAGCAGCCGGGTGCTGTGCATGGCCTCAGCACACAGGCGGGCCCTGGACAAGCAGGGTGTCCCCGGGGCTGAGGGAGGGAGGGAGCGAGGGAGGCCCCTGCGGCGGGCATGCCCGAGGTCAGCCCGGTATGGAGAGCGGTCCCCGGCGGCAGCCGACAGGCGCATGGGGACCCTCACAGAGATGGACCCTGCCAACAGCTGGCGTGAGCTCAGGAGACCCTCCCTGGAACCTTCAGGTAGGCGCCCTGCCGGCCGGCAGCGGTGTCACCCCGTGAGGCCCCAGGCCGGCCCGCCGGCACCGCGGAGCTGGGACTGGGAGACGCAGGCCGCAGAGGCCGATCTGCAGCGGACCCTGCACAACCGGGGCTGCCTCGACGCACGTGCGGCCCTTCTCTGTGGCCGAGACTCCACAGCCATCTGGTCACGGCCTGCCATTCACGAGCTTCCCACCAGGGTAGCTCAGCTTCACTGCCGAGAAAGACAGTCCACAGGGGCCTCACGCGACCCGTGAAAAGCAGCGGCAAACCCCGCAGTCCCCCCAGAAGACGCAGCCTCTGGCCTGGCTCGCTCCCCCGCACCCTGCACACAGCTGGCAGGGGCCAGCCCGGCCCTTGGCGGGCGCCTCCCTCGGCAGGTCCGCAGAGAGCCCGGCGGGGTGCGGAGGGGACCGCAGGCCCTGGAGGCCACCGGCGAGGTCCTGGGCCAGCTGCTGGAGTCCCTCTCACCCCAGCTCCCATCCTGCTCCGCTCTCCCAGGCTCCCCCGCAACACCAGGCACAGGCGCGGCCTCTCACGGGGAGGGAGGCTCGGATCGCCAGCCAGAGCTCAGCACAGAGATGCACGGGTCGTCGTCCCCCCGCCCCGCCCCCCGTCCCCCCCCCCCCGCGGCCCCGGCTTTGGCGCGGCGGCGCGGCGCGGCCCACCTGCGGCCCCGCCTGGGGCGCCACCCTGCAGGTCCGCGAAGATGGTCGGCTTCACCAGGACGACCCCGTAGCCCTCGTTGTTGTGTATGATGTTGTTCACCATGGATACTTTGGGGAGGTCGTAATGCTCGTCTAGGAAGTCCTGTGGCATGGAGAACAAGCGCAGTAAACGAGCGCCGCCTGCCTCCAAGGCGCGCTCTTCCCAGGCGACTCTCAAACACGGTCGGAAGCAGTGCCTGCTGCCGCGCGGCGGCACCCGCGAGCCATACACAACACAGCGCTCCCACAGGACCCCTGGGACCGCCCGGCACCGCGTTACTAACATCCACGCACTGCTCGCGCCTTCCAAACCAGGAAGCACTGGGATGCCACCTGGGGGGTCAGCACCCCGGCCACCCCAGAGGAGCGTCCGGAGCCCCGGGGGCGGCAGGGGGCGGGGACCCACCTTGATGAGGATGCCCTCCTTGCAGTGGTGGATCCCGCTGTCGCTCAGCGTGCACGTGCTCCCGGGGTAGATCTCCACACCCGCGCCCTGCAAGTCACAGTGCGAGGCGGTGACAACCGGCTCTCAGGAGGCAGGGCCGCTTCTTAGACTTCAACACGGCCCCCGTGCGTGCGAGGTGCAAGCAGAACGGTTTTATAGAAAACTGTGCTCGGTGCCGCTAGAGGGCGCTGCACTGGCTCCGTCCCCCGCAAGCAGCCGGTCCTTCGTCCCTTTCGGGAACCACACGTGCACACACACCCCCCGCACTGGACCAAGTGCCAGCGCTCGTTCTCTGGTTCAATCAATCCATCAATCAACGCCACGCGACCACATCCAATAATGCAGAAAAAACATTTGACAAAAGCGAACACACATGCAGTATAAAAATTCTCAGAAAACGGAACTAGAGAATTTCCTCAACGTGGTAGAAAATGCCTACGAGGAACCCGCAGCTCCCCTTGCCTTTCAGGGGCGACTGGGGCGTCCCCCGCATGCCACCCCCCCCCCCACCGCCCGGACTCCCACGGTGCCGCTCCTGCCAGTGCCCCAAGGCAAGCGGCCCGCCGGGCGGAAGGGGACAGGCACGGCTGTCCCTGCTTGCAGGTCACCTGACCGTCTACACGGGAAATCAAGGAATCTCGAAACTCTCCTAGAACTCATCCGAAGGTTCAGCCAGGTCACAAGATCTAAGATAAACATGCGAAACCCTATCCTGTATACTAGCAATAAACCCACAGAAAGTGAAACTTAAAAATACAGTATCAGGATCACTCCACAAAATTGACATATTCAGGTAAAAATGTAACAAAGCACACAGGAGGCTGGTACGCTGCAAACGACACAACACGGACGAAAGCAATCAAAGACCCACACAAACAGAGACACACGGGGTTCGCAAGGTTAGACGACTGCACAGAAAAAAAGACGCCCCCTCTCCCCAAACTGAGACTCAGGTTTCGTGAATTCCCGTCTAAATCCCACGACGGTTTTCTGTAGGTCTGGACAAGATTTTTCTAACATTTGTACTGGAAGGCGAAGGAACTAGAGGAACAGGAAGAAGTTTTAAAGATGAGCAAAGTGGGCGGGCCCCATGCCCAACGCCCAGCCCCCCAGCCGCTGCAGGCGTGGTGGGGGGGGGGCGGCGGGGGGCGGGGCCGAATCCAGCCCCGCGGACCCAGAGGGCTCGCCTGTGGGCCCGCCTGCCCAGGGACAGCCTTTTCAGGACATGCAGCTGCAGTTGGACATCCATCGGCAAATTACTGGACCTTCGCCCAAATCTCACATTTTAGGCCAGAATTAACTCAGAAATGAATCATGGACTTAAATGCAAAGGTTAAACCACAAAATTTTTAGGAAAAAAAAATCGGAGAAAATCTTTGAGGCCTAGGACTAGGCAAAGAATGCTTAAATCCCCTGGAGCGCAGTCCAGAAAAGGAAAGACGAGTAACCGGGACTTCATGCAAACGTGTCTTTGCTTCATAAAAGCCCACATGAAGAAGACGTGACCAGCTACAGATCAGCAAGAAGCATCTGTAAACCGCACTCCCGGCAAGGCACTAGTATCTACATACAACAATTCCCAGAACTCTGCAGCGAAAGAGAACAATGCAACTGCAAAATGTGAAAAAGTCACGAGCAGACATTTCACTGAAGAGGAGAGAAGGATGCGAATACGCACGTGAAGGGATGTTCATCACCGACTGTTAGGGAAATACAAACCAAAACCACCAGCGAGCAGAATGACTGAAATGAAAAACAGCAGTGAAACTACCAGGTGCTGGGGAGGCTGCGGAGAAGCTGGGTGGCTCAGACTCCGCCGGCGGGAACGGCAGCTCTGGAAAGCACTCGGGCAGTTCCCCCCAACGAGCGCAGGCCACAGCGGCGCCCCCGCCCCCGGGCAACGGGACCGGCTGCGCTCAGAGGCCTGTCCACCAGGGCACACCCTTTATTCACAAGCCCACGCGGAAGCAGCCCGAGGCCTCCCGCAGGTGGGCGGCCACACGGCGAGCGACCGCGCACAGGAACATGGCTCGGCAGCAGAAGGGCCCCGGGACTGGGCCCTCGTGGCCCCTGGATGGAGCATCAGAAAGTCGCGCTGCGTGCAGAACGCCAGCCCGGAAGGTGACAGCCTGTGAGCCCACCCCCAGAGCAGTGTTGCAGGGGAGGGATAACGGGGGGGGGGGGGGCCCTTGCCGGGAAGGAGAGTCACGCGGCCGCGTCAGGGTCGCCCCGGCTGTGCTGTCACACTGTGCTGTCACACTGTGGTTTCGCAAGACGTGACAATGACAGGGACGGACACATGTCCAGGAGACCTCTGTGCTACTTCTTCCTACTGCGTGTGAGTCTACAATCGCCTCAAAATAAGTCTCGTTTAGAAAAGCAACGGAGCTTCAGCTGCTACCAAACCAGGCGCCGAGCTGGGCTCTGAGGGTCTAACCCTCCTGAGGTTGTCGTGGAGAAACAGCAGCTTCACCATGTCCACCCCTAACCTGCTTGGACAGGGGCAAACCAGAGCCTCCCGGACGAGTCCCGCTGACTCAGCAGGAAGTGTCTGACCTCCTTTGAGGACCAAGCGCGGAGGGTGCGTTCGCCTCTTGGCCCCACCGTTTCTGGGCGTATTTAGAGCTTCAGCCCGAACGACTCCCCGAAAGGACAGGGAGAGGACCCACCTTGGCCCCGTACAAGTCCGAGGCCTTCAGCAGGAGCTCCGCGGAGGTGCGCACGGTGACGCCGGTCGTCTCGCACTGCAGCACGCAGTTCTCCACGACGGTCCTGCCCCGGTGAATGACTGCGAGGGGGACACGTGTCACACGCGGGGCGCGTCCCCCCAGGGAGCGAGGGGCCCGGGGCGCATTAGCCGGCCTAGGAGCCTCCCACAGCTCCCACTTCAACACTGTTACTACAATTACAAATTCAAAATCCACGAAACAATGACTATCTTTAGTTAGTGTCTAAGAGCTACAAGCAGCATGCTTAAAAACACCAGCTTGACCTCAGAAATGCAAACTGAGTTCAAGAGCACTTTTCATTTAAAAAGAAAAAAGAAAAAATGTCCAACAGTCCCGAGCAGGCGGGGGGCAGAAGAAAAGGGGCCCCACCCGGAAGGGGAAGGGGACCCAGGAAGACGGCTGGTTTGCACCTGAGGCCAAATCGAATGCCGACAGCAGAGGTCACGATCCTGGGGTGTTTTAGAAGGAAAACAATGCTCGCACAGAACGCACTTGTTTCACTAACCGACTTTCAGAATAGGCTGAACTGTTTTTCACTTGGGAACAAGCTTCCTAAGTCGCCACGCTCTGCACGTAAGTAACTCGTCCGCGCCCCGCGTACTCCAACTGCTGCCTTACTAGGTCTGTCGTCGGGAAGCCGTTCCCTTCCAGGCCGGGACCAGAGTACGCGGACCGCCGAGACACTTACTCAGGATCCCTTCCACGGCGTCGCGCTGGACAAACTTGATGTTTGAGATTTTCACGTCCGCGCCTGTGCAGTCCACGAACGTGTCCCCCTTGCCCCTCTGCTCTATGACGACGTCGTCGGGGAGGCCGTACCCTGAGGGGACAGCGGGCCGTTCAGGACAGGAGGGGGACATCGGAACACAAACCGCTACAGCATTTCTCTACTTCAAGTAACTCGTAACAATACTGGCGACCGGTCAAGCCAGTTGCGTTTAAATAAATTCTAATCCTCGCCCCCGCCGGCTGTTTTAGACCGGAGCGTGTGGCTTTTATACCGCCTCAGTTTGCTCCCCTGTCAGGAAGAGCACCCCAAAACCATCTCGGCCACTGCGTTTTATTATCAGAAAAATTAAAACTATTTTTAAAGTGCCATATTGAGGAAAAAACTGAGACTATGACATAAACAAGCTATGTATTCTTAGCGGTTTAAACGACAAGGCCGCCCGCTCGGTGAACGGAAGTTCTAAGCAGGAAGGAGACGCCCGGCCCGGGGCACCGCGAAGGCCCTGCGGCGAGGCTCTCGGCACCTGCCCCGCCCTCCTCGTCACAGAGGCCGCCAGCCCCACCCTGGGGGCTCACTGGCACTGGGGAGACGCCCACCCGCCCGAGCCGCACGCTGCCATCCTGCGTGGCACACCCGTCCCTCCCAACCGCCCGCACCCTGCGCCCCAGCAACCACAGTACCCCTTCCTCGCCAGTCCACGAGGAGCCCATCCCCCGGCCCGCCCACGAGCGACAGCAGCAGCGGGGTTTTCACTGTGCCAAAAAGTGAGGTCTTCTGTCGCGGTGACTCGTCTGCAGGTGCGCTGTTCACGCACACCCTCCCAGGGCAGACCTCGGAGAAGGGGACTAAGAAGCCCGCGCACAGAACAGGGGGCGCGTGGCGACGGCTGGCGAGCCACAGGGTCAAGCCCGGGCGCCGCCTCCCTGGAGAAGCCTCGACAAGGAGAAGATGAAGGGCAGGGTCGGGGTGGCCGCGGCCGCTGCACATCCGCTCGCGCTCCAGAACGACGGACGAGCGTTCGCCTTACCAGCTGGGCTGCTAACCTGAAGCTCTCTTGCTAAAGAGTCGAACAGGCGCATCTAGACGGGACACGTTTTGAAAACATACGGGACCGAGACGAGCGACTGCCAAGCCACCCGCGTTTAGGAACCATTCTAAATGGGCAAGCAGACTGTCACTGAGAAAAAGTCGCTTTAACGGAGTCTTCCCACGCGAATGTTCTCCAAACTACGCTCTGGTCAAGATTCAAAGGGTAGAATTTGTGGCATTCAGCAAGCTTTTAAAAAACTAAGATTTTTGGTTCAAGTTCACAGAAGTAACCTAAATTTTTTTTAAAAAATCATGCACTGATATAGCCACATCGTTTATGAAATAAGAGTAAGCAACAGGCAAAAAATTACTTTCTAAATATTTGCTGGGAATGCGTTTTTATTCTAGAAACGAGATTTCCTTTCCATGAACAACCCGCAATCTAGAAAGCGCGCTTCTCCCTAACGGCCCGTGTCCTCCCGGCGCTCGTCTGCCCCGCACCCCGATGCCGATGCCGACCCCGATGCCGATGCCGGTGCCGATGCCGCGCAGAGCCACCGCGCAGAGCCGCCCCGCGTCGCCTGCGAGCCTGCACGCCCCCGCTGCGGAGGCCGGCGGGCTGGGCGGGGCCTCTTCTCGGAGCTGCGACAGGCTCGGCGGCCGGCTCGGCGTCCCCAGCACTCACCTTCCAGCGCGATGGAGTCCGCGAGGGCGAGGGCGCCCTGCACCACGTAGCGGCCGGGACAGACGAGGACGGTGTCGCCCTCGTAGCAGGCGCTCACGGCCGACAGCGGGTCCCTGTGGAACTGGAGGACAGAGACCCCTGCACCAGGCTTCCCGCGGGCGCCGCCGCGCCTCCCTCCAGAGGGGCCGCCGCACGCCCCGCCGCCCGCCAAGTGGCGGAGCCGCCGCAGGGAGGGCCGTCCCGGCCCGTGTCACGGAAGACCGGCTCTGGGAGCCTCTGCAGCACCCCGCGGAACGCAGGAGGGCCTGGGCGGGCAGAGGGGGCGGCCACCGGAGCGAGGGCCCTCCTTTACCTGGACCTCCGCCTCCTCCTGGCAAGGCTCCCGGCAGAGCCTGTCCCTGAGCAGGGCCTGCAGCAGCCCTGCCGTCAGGGTGGAGGCGACCACGTGGGTGACCTTCTGGCCGCTGGGACGGGCGCCCTTGGCTTGGATGTTAGACTTCTTCTGATACCCAAACACGTACCTTGGGGGAGCAAACAGCCGTGAGGGCTCGGGACGGCTGCCGGGCAAGGGCGCCGGCGGGTGGGCGGGCAGCGGGGCGCGCACCTCAGCAGGGGATTCTCGATGAGCTTCAGCTTCTGCTTCAGCTGCTCCATCTCGGAGTAGAGCTTCAGACCCTCCACCATGGAGAGGCTCCCCTGCTCGCTGTCCGAGTCGCAGGCCGACAGGTGGCTCCGCAGGCTCAGGAAGCTTCCGTAGATCTCCTGGCACTGGGCCAGCAGGCTGCGGTAATCGGCGACCAGTCCCGACGGCACGCGGTCCTCCAGGATGTCGTAGTGCCTGGGAGCGTAACACGGCGGCCTGAGCCCTCTGCCCGCAGACCCGCTGCCGCCCTCGCGGAGGGGAGTGCGCGCCGCAGGCAGCCCCGGGGCGGGGGTGGGGGCACACTCAGGGGCCTGTTCCCCCTTTGAGACTATGCTTTCTCCCTTAGGTCCAGGCACTTGCACTGCAGAAACACTGAACGTTCACGCTGCACCGCGGCCACCACCGTGCAGCAAGAAATTGCCTTCGCACGTGTTGGGCTCAAACTCTGAGTCGGCAGGCGCTGGGGCCGTCCGGGGGCACGGGGGGCGGGGGCGCACCCCAGAGCCTCACAGCAGCCTTTCGGGCGACTGTGATTCAAATCGCCCCGTCCCCCCCACACTGAAAGTTCATGGCACAACACCCCGCAGAACGCTGCCTCGGGAACATTGTCAGGGTGTCTCAAGAACCTAAGCCGCCCAGCTTCTGAGAAACCAAGTTAAAGCCATGGCTACGAAACTAGGGAGCGGTTAAACCAAATAACCTTGTCTCGACCGGGCAACCTTACTGGTGCTTAAAACCTGCGAATTTATACACCTTCTCAAATATACAGACAGAACAGAAAGCATTTCTAGATGCAAGAAAGCAACTGTGAATGAACACACGATCCAGCTGAGGAACGTGGAATGAATGGGTCTGAGAATAAAGCACACTCTTGCTGTCATTACCCGCAGTTTGAAATCACGCCTTTATTCCTCAGGTGCAGGGCTGTCCCCCGGGCGCCGCGGGCCCGAGCCCCCGCTCCCGCCCTGTCCGAGCGGCGGGCTGGCGCCTCGCCCAGCCCCTCGCCACAGGCACGCCGGGCCGTGCCGGCCTGGACGGCGGCCCTCGAGCTCCGTCGCACTCCAGGCAAGGTGAAGGGACAGAGCCTCGTGCCCGACCAAGTCACACCAGGTCACAGGGAACAGCCAGGCAGGGTTTAAAAACGTATGAAAAATAATTGTTTTCTGCTGTTGAAGTAGACGAGTCAGGCGAAGCTTGAAAGCAAGGATTTGTCTGCTTTGCTGAACCCCACGCACTCGGAGGCGCCCCCGCAAGCTGCTCTGCGAACAAGACACGGGGCCCCACCGCGGGCGGCCGGCCAGCTTATGAAGAGTGTGACTGCGGTCGTAGAGGGGGCCCGCAGTGCGTCCGGCACCCACGCCCCCGGCTTACCTCGCCTCTCCCCAGCTCCCCCGCCACTGCTTTTCAAACAGCTGTCTTTGAACTTCACGCAGGGTTTTTGACACGTCAGCTCAAATTTCCTCAGGCTTACAAACCACCGAGCCCGGAACTTGGTGCTGCCCAGCCCTGTTTTCAGACCCGGCGTGCAGACGCCGCACACAGGCCCCTCTGTCCACCGGGGCTGTGCGCACCGACCGCCCGGCCCTGCCCGGCCCCTGCGGCAGCCCCCGCCCCCGCAGGCCACAGGCCTGGTCGGCGCGAACCACGGGGAGCTGGCTCCCCAGCACACGCCAGGCCGCCAGGGACACTCACAGCCTCAGCCGCGGCTCCACACATCGGACGAAATAGTCGTACTCGTCCTCCTCCTCTTCGTCCCAGCTCCTCCAAATGTTCTGGTAGAAAAACCTGAAACGGAAATTTGTATCATTCAAACTCGATCACTAGCTCAAAGTGCGAGGGTTGCGTAGGGGTGGGAGCAAAGGAGAAACAGAATTATCCTATCGACTGCAGGGGAGAACGCTGCCTTCGGTGCCCGTGGTGGCCGCACGTCATCACGTGTCACCGGAGCCCTGCTCTGAACTGGCTCCCGGGTATGTCCACGGTGCGGGTCGGCCGGGGCCTCCTGCTTCCCAGAACGAGTTCCTGGCCACCCGTGAGTGGGCAGGAGGGCCACTCGCTGAGAGAGGGGGGCTGGGCGAGAAGCAGGCTTCCGCCACGTCTGGGTCCGCGCCGGCCCCCAGCCCGGCCCACCGCCTACCTGACGTGCTCGATGGCGAGCGCGGTCTGGTCGAGCGCCCCCGAGTCATCGAACACCACCCAGAGCTCCTGCAGCGGCAGCCGCTGCGCCTTCAGGTCCAGCAGCTCCCGCACGCACTCCGGGGTGAAGGTGCCCAAGGAGGACTCGCAGAGGCACGGCTCCACCAGCCGCACCACGGCCTTCAGGGCTGCGACGTCCACGTCCGTGACCTCCAAGTAAAGCGCTGGGACTGAGCACACGGGGATCGGAAGGAAGACCCGCGCCGACGGCGCTCCCCGCGGCCCGGTGTTTCCGGCCATGAAACGGGAGCGGAGGCCTCCTCCCCCGCACAGAGGGTAAACCGGCCGGCCTGGCTTTGACCCAGGGGGCGCGTACGTGAAATCGAGGAAACAAATACACCGTCAAGGCGGTGACAGGCCTGTGACAGAGGATCACCAGCGGGCAGGGGAGGGGTCAGGGGAAGTCACCGGGAGCTGCAAGGAAAGGCTGGGACCGCAGCAGCTCCCTGAAGAGCGGGGAGGGCAAAGGGCCTGGGGCAGAGCCCTCCCACCCCGAGGCGGCTGCTGGGGCCCCGGGAAGGAAACGGTGGGGGCGGGGAGCAGCAGAGGGTCCCCTGGGGAGGAGCCGGGAGGCCGCTCTCTGGCAGGCGGGGCGGGCCTTGGCAGGATGACTGGCCACTTTAAGCGAGGGCACACTGCTCTTTCAGAGCGGTGACCATGACGGCTTTTAGGGAACTGACTTGGGGAGCGCGGGGGACTCTCAGGACTTCGAGCCGCAGGCCCGAACTGCCGAACACAGCAGCGGCACCCGGCATTGGAGGGTTCCCAGGGACACGCCGCCCCCACCGCAGTCACCGCGGGCCGCGGCGGCCCGCCCCCAGAGCAGCGCACCCGCTTGTAACAACGCTCCCGGTTTCGCAGTTTAGTTGAACAGGGTTTTTTTGTGGTCCAGTTAACAAACACTGAGAAAATTTCACAGCTATAATTAGAGTGCAAATTTCATGTGAGAGGCCCAGTCAGTTGAAAAATGAGACTGTTTTTCCTGTCTGCAGCGCAACGCAGCATCCCGAGATTAACCCGTATCACCAGATTGGTTAGGCAAAGCCGAGCTAGTCTTAAAAATGCCTATTTGGTTTGAGCTCTCTAATGAGCTGCCGCTAAGGTAAAAAAACATTAACTGAAACTCCACTGCCTTCATAATTAAGGCGCCTGTTTCTGAAATGGTCTCAAATACCCCCTCCACTGGCGGGGTTTATAGCCCGGGTCCTGGTGTGAAAGGGCACGGGAATGAAAGCCACCCCAGCCCCCGGCTGCCCCTCCTCACTGTCTTTAAATGTGGGGAACACTTCACACACCCTGGCAATTCGATGAGAAAAACATGTCATTTTCAATCAGCTCATAAACTTTAATTAAAAATAAGCGCTTTGGCCATAACAGTCTGAAGGAAAGGGCTTCTAGCTGGAGACAAACGACTTAACGACAGAAGGGCACGTACCTCCACCAGCACCTCGAACACGTCCGTGTGCCAGACCGCCCGCCACCCCGAGGGCTCGAGGACCTTCTCCAGGAACTCGGCGGTGAACTCGCGCACCTCCGAGGCCTTGCAGTCAGCTGCGGACACATCGGACACAGCGAGGACTGAGACGCGCCCGGCAGAGGGGAGCCCGGGGCCTGCGCGCCCCCTCGCTCTGAGCCGCCAGCGGGCAGCCTGCGGGGCTGCAGCGGGCAGCGTGCCCGCGCGCCGAGAGCCGCTCACCCAGCATGTAGTCCTGGTAGGCTGCGAACCGCTCGTAGAACAGCAGGTGGCCGGTCTGGAACAGCTCCGGGAAGCTTGTCTTCCCCTGCAGCACGAAGCTGGAGAACCGGGACCCCGGCCTGCCATCGCCGCTGCAGTCGCTGTACGACTCTCCGTCCTGGAACGAGCCTGAAACCACCCCGAGCGAGGTCAGCCGGCCGGCCGCCCCGGCCCCGGGCCCCACTCAGGAACTCTGACGAGACGCAGACACGGGCCAGGGAGACGCCTTCCGTCCCGTCTGCGCTGTCAGGAGAGGCCGGCTCACTAAACGTACACGTGCCCCCAACGCCGAGCTCTCCCCCACGCGGCAAGAACATGAGGTGCGTGGGGGCTGTATTTCTGAGGTTCCCCGGGAGGCAGAGGACGGCTGTCCCTGAACTCGAGGAGGGCACCCCGCCCCGCTTCCCGGAACAGTGGTGATCCTCACTGCGGCCAGCAGCGCGGCACAGGCGGACCCCTCAGTCACTCTGTCCAGAGCAATTCTAGAAAGGTGTCTTCAAATCAGGAGCTTCCTACGCTCACTCTCAGACGAGCTGCAGCCGCCCTCTATGTTCCCAGCGTCCGTCCGCCGGCGGCCCCTCCATATCAGGGATGAGCAGTTCCAGCCATGCACCAGGCTTGCTTCACCAAAGCCGCCAGGTCCCCCCACCAGCTCCAGTGACCGCGTCAAAGGAGAAGAGCGGAAAACGCTAGTCACAGCCGGTGTGGGCTGTGGGCAACTATGTCCCAGGGGGCCTGACCTGGCCAGTGGCCCGTGTAGGTCTGTGTAACAGCACGTTGTTAACGCGCAAAGGACGACAGAACAACATCGCCGTGGGCAGGTGCAGACCGGCTTGGTCGTTGCCAGGCGGTTCTGGAGGCTCTGAGACTATTAAATACAGCCGTTCTCCCCCCAAAACTGTTCTATTTCCTCCTTTCTTCAGCCTCTTTGCCCCCGTTGAGGCCACCAGAGTGATCCGCCCCCAGAGATGGCCACAGCACGCAGCCACAGAGGACACCAGCACTGACAAGCTAGTGACGATCTCTCCGTGACTCGGCGCCCCCACCCATGAAGGGAAGACAAAAATAGGTGCCTACTTCCATCCATTAATAGCCACTCACAATGGTGCCCACTGCTAAAGAATTCATGCCTTCACCTCGCACCCATGAGGCGGCTTCTTGCAAAAAAGCAACAAGAAAAACCTTTGAGAAAACAAGCGCTGGCAAAGATGTGGAGAAACGGGTCCCTCGTGCGCTGCCGGTGGGCAACGCCGTGGGCGGCGCTGCGGGCTCCTTAGAAACTTAGAAACAGCTGCCAGGAGGCCCAGCAATTCCCCGCTGTGTTACCTACCCATAGGAATTGAAAGCAGGGTCTCCAAGAGACACGTGCACACCCGCGTTCTAGGAGCATCGCCCACAAGAGCCAAACATGGAGGCAACCCGGGCGCCCAGCCATGGGCAGATGGATACACAAAATGTGGCCCATCCGTACAATGGAGCATTATTATTCTGCCTTGAAAGGAAGGCAATTCCGCAACGCGCTACAGTGTGGAAGAGCCTCGAGGACGCCGTGCTAACCCAAACTAGCCAGTCACAGAAAGAAAAGCGCGGTGAGACCCCGCCAACAGGAGTGACTTGGTCGAAACCCACGCAGGCGGAAAAGGGGACAATGCTGGGGGCGGGGCGGGGCGAGTGTCAAACAGGCACAGTGTCCACGGGAGAATGGCCGAGCCTGGGAGGAATTTTATAAACACTGATTTGGGCCAGACAGAGGCTGCACCTGGAAACGGCAAGGTGTCAACAGGCTGAGAAAAGGCTCCTCAGAAAGGCAGTTGGCAGTTTCGTTTGCAATCCAGGAGGGAGATTACGGGAGGGAGGTGGGAAAAAGCAAAGGGAGGACTAGAGGGGAGTTAGGATTACGGGCTCTCCTGAGGATTAATACCCCCGCCCCGCTCTGAGGGGTGCTACTCCCGGCATTTCCAAGGCGTGTCAGCCTAGGTGCACAGAAACAACAGACAGGGCTGGCTTAGGACCTTCCACGGCAGCAGGTGTGCGCCTGGGGCGCGGCCGCCACCGGGGCCTGCCGGTCCGGAGCGGACGCCCGGATCACCCGGGGCGGTGCCTTTCCCTAAGCCCCTTTCCGCCCACACGAGAGTTCAGGTTCACAGACTGAAAAGAGTTCTGGGGATGGTGGTGGCTGCACAACAATGTGACTGTATCTGAGGCCGCTCGGCTGCACACTTGCAGGTGGTTAAGATGGTAAATTTTGTGTGGCACACTTTAACAGAGTAACAGAAGGCAGCCTTTCTCCAGCGCAGCTCTTTACAGCCCGTTGGAAAGGACCCCTGTCCCTGCGCGATGTCACTCCAGCCCCACCCCTCCGAAGGACCGCGGGCAGCTCCCCCGATGAGAAAGCGGCGCCAAGGGGCTGCGCCAGTGCGCACGCAGGGCAGCAGGGGCCTGAAGTCCCCTGCCCTTCTCCCTCTGCCTCGGCTCTCTCCACTACAGAGCGCCGCGGAAAATGCCAAAGCGACAGCCCGAGCGAGCTTCCAACGCCGGGAAGAATAAACACGAGAGGCTCCCGGGGAGGAGCCAGGGCTGAGCATAAACCTGGTGCTGTGTTTAGGCTGTCCCCTGACTCCGGGCGCGTCCCCTGCCCTCGGTGCTCAGGGAGCTCCGGCCCAGGAGGAGGGACACGCAGACACGCGCACACGCCGCCCGGGAGCCCACGCAGACACACAGGGCCGGGTGGCTGCCCCGGCCCAAGCCGCCCAGTCCGTAGAGACCAGGCCGGGCGCAGCTGCCGCCGCCACCCGGCCGGCCGGCCGGAAGGCGCCCTAGGAGGGCCGCGGACACGGCCGGACGCTGGGGACGGCTCCTCGGGCCGGCACGGGAGCACTCACCTTGCTCCAGGGCTGCCGGCTCCTGCTCGGCCGCCCAGCCCGTGCGCTCCGGCTGCGGCCCCATCCCCTCGGACCCCAGGCCGAAACCCGCCAGCAGTGCCTCAGCCATTTCAAATTTCTGCGGGCACCGCCCAGCCCGGGAACGTGATGACGCGCGCACTGCTGATTGGACAAGGCCCTGTGGCTCCCGGACCAATCGAAGGAAAGCTTGCGTGGCCCCAGAGCTCAGGAGCCCCGCCCTCTGCAGCCCGCGTCCAACCCAGTCACAGCGCCTGGGCGCCACCTCCTGGCTGGGCGGGCCGTTGTTTCCGTCCACGTTTACTGGGACGAACTTGGATGAAGTTGAACTGGGTCTTTTGGGATGATTTCCAGAAAACTAACAAGCCACGCCTGGAAATGGAGTGCAGCGAAAAAGGCAGAGCATTTAGACTGCCGTCCACGGCAACCAAGGATTGGCCTCGGAGGCTCCCGGCCCTTCACCACCAAAACTCCTTTTCTTTCACCGTCGCCTACACGCAGGCACGCAGATTAAATGTACTAAAGGTGTGTTTTGTCCGTATTTGTTCATCAAAGGCACTCTAACCTCCAATCATAGGTAACATTTGTGGTCTCCTGTGCAAGACACCCCCACAGGCTTTGCCTGCTTCCCTCTCACTCCAAAAACCGTCCTAGGAGGCTGGAAATACTATTATCCCCCTTTTAGAAATGAGGAAACAGGGTCCTCAAAAGGATAAATACAAGTAAGTAAAAAAGAAAAATTAAGTAACGCCCAATTTAACCCAGCACAGTGAGAATGAGAAACCAGCCAGACTCCAACAGCCACCCTTCAAGGCCCCTGCCAGGCCTGGTCACCAGGGCACCCGTGACGTGGGGGGACGTGGCGGCGGGCGGCCCCTCAGAGGACCAGGCCCCCTACAGGCGTCGGCTAGTCCCCTTCATGAATCAAGCACGAGAGTCCACCATTGTTAATAGCAACTTTATTTTCACTGGTGCAAAAAAAAAAAAAAAAAAGAGTGATAATTGTATGATGCATTTCCCCCTAAATTTACAATAATGAAGGTTATACATAAATTATATAGATCACAAATTTTCTATTTTATACTATTTAGAACAAAAATTACTTTGATAAATATGTCAAGAGGACAACATAGATTCTTAATGGATGGCTGAGTCCAAATATGCAAAATATAGCTTCTGGCTTTGACCAGGGCGCTTTAAAATTCTCAAACATGCATTAATATATTCTAGTTTCAGGGAGAATATTATACATGGCCTTATTTTGCATTTAGGGAAAAGCCCAAGCTGAATTTCACATACAGTAATCCTTTCTTCTAAATTAATCTCAAAGTGAACTAGAGAACAGAGAGACAAGACGACGCTGCTGGGTTAGTCTCCCAGGCAGCGAAGGGAATGGCGCATCAACAGTGAAACAAAGCGGGAAGAGGAAGGAGAGTTCCATTAGTAGCCAAGAGAAGTGGTTGTTAAGAATTTGTTTGGTTTGTTTTGTTTTTTTTTACCATCACAGGAATTTTAAATAGCAAATCAATCATGCTACTGTGGGCGATCAGACAGCCTGAACACTTATGAAGTGAGTAACTGTATTAAGGTCTTGAAGGTGAGCGTCCGGAGGTGCTGGGCCAAACACATCACAGGTAAGAAACGGGGAACCTGCCTCGGCATCTCTGGAAGGCACGGTCTACGGCAGGGAGGCCTAGTGTGACAAGCCCTCCGCAGACGTGGGAGGACGGGGCGGCGGCCCGCCCCTCAGAGGACGAGGCCCTCGTAGATGGGCCCCTCGGACTCGGGCGACTCCCGCCTCAGGCGTAGGTGCTCCAGCGTGTTGTGGAAATGCTTGTTAATCTGCTCCGTCTCTTCGCTGGACTCAAGGTTGGGGAGGTCTTCTCGGATCTTCTGGATAAGCTGATTCAACACCTGAATCGTGACCTACAGGAGAGGATGCGCCACGAAGAATTGAAGGGGCTGTGCTACCCTCACCAATTACCAGGTAATTATGAGAAAAAGAGATGAGAACAGGGCTCCCGATTTGAGCAACAATAGACTATTCATCAAAAAAAAAAGGTTAAAAAATACAGAGCATCATGAACCAGAAAGCCAACACTAGCAAAGTATCATTTAACCTACAAATCTTGACCAACACTGTACTGTTAGCAGCATAAAGCATCATTCTTTCTTTAGGAATTATTCTAAACTTGTACAGGATGACAAGTCAGCCTACCACTTAGTGTCTATAAACTATTGTGTAGTTTTTAAATAACAACTATTTTTATAAAATGTCCCTAAGGAAAAGAGACAGGAACTCCCTTGCACATAATCAATTTCTTCATTAGAGATGCACAGACACAGAGAGAGAAGGGTATTGGGAGAAACAGAGACTGACAGGCGAACTCCCCCAGCCCTGACTCTTGTAAACAAAAAAAGTACCAGAATGATAAACCTTTGCATGTATCAAACCCAAGAGCAGGAAAGGAAAACGTCAGCCCACTTACCGCATCGTTCTCCTTTTCATAAAAATAGATATATCTGTTGAGGATTTCTATAAAAAGCTGCACTTGCAGAGAGGGGTCCATGCACTGATTGGCTATTTTGAGGGCTTTCTTCAGGCACTCCGTCACCCGCTTGCCTCCCTGCAGCTGGAATGGCGGGGGGGCGGGGGGGACGGTTACAGAGATGGAGGGACCCCAGACGTCCCAGTCCACACAAGGAGATACACATGGCAGTCCCGTGCCTCGCTCAGGTTCTACAGGGACACGGAGAACTCAAACCTTCATTTTCTAAAGCACAGAGTTCTTTTTTAAAGCCAACAGGTTATTTGTTTTGCATGTTTACGTATGTTTTATGTTCTCACGCAGGCACACTTGAGAAACACGTGGGTTCCCAGACCACTGAACACAGCGGGCGTCGCCGTGGAGCGAGCCCCCCCACTCTCGGTTTCCCGAGCACGGACAAGCCGCGCTGAGGCTGCACTGCAGGCCACCGACGCTGTGCAGGGATGGCTGAGCGGGGGAGGGATGGGGGATGGCTCATCGGTCAGAACACAGCCGACGGCCAAGACCCCATCTTACATGGGGGCAGTTCACAGCACCACAGTTCCAGTAGCAACATCAAAGATCACAGGTCCCAAATCCCCGTGATCTCCATTATCACCACAAATGATAAGGAAAAGGTCCAAACTACTGCCAGAATGACTGGGACCGACAGGAAGTGAGCACAGGCTGCTGGGGATGGCGCCGAGACCCGCCGGACGCAGTGTCTGCGGAGTCCATGCGGCACGCGCAATGCAGCAGGCTGTGCCTGCGCTAGGGAGCCATTTTATCTTTTTAAGGTTTTTTAGATTATTTTATTTATTTTTTCAACAGGAAGGAAGGAGAGAGAGAGAGAGAGAAACATTGATGTGTGCTTGCATCTCACACACCCCCTCCTGGGGATCTGGCCTGCAACCCAGTCATGTGCCCTGCCTGGGAACTGAACTGGCAACCCTTTGGTTCGCAGGCCAGCCGGCACTCAGTCCACTGAGCCACACCAGCCAGGGCAGCCTATTTAAAGGCATGGTTAAACCTGCTAGGTTACAGTGGTCTCAAAGCTGAGGCTTCACTGCAGGATGTCACTCTACACACTCCTTTCCATCTCTTGTGACAAAGCTGTTGCGCCAGGTGCCCGAGCACTCCCAATGCCTTCCCTGCAGGGCACGAGCCAGCCCTCCCCAGCTCCCCCGCCCCCCCTCCGCCGCCAGGGACCCGGTCTCCCGCAGCAGCCCAGGCAGAGCCCTCACCTCCTCCCCGTTCCTGTCCGTGTTTTTGCCAGACCAGAAGAGATGGGCACAGGTGCTCACGGCTCGGCCCTGGTCGGGCTTCTTCAGAAGCTTGGATGCAGCGAGAGCACACTGCGTCCTCAAGGGCTCGTGGTTCTCTTCACTGAAGCACTTCATCCTCTCAAAAGTGCCGATGATCAGGGTGATGGCCGCCAGCTGGGCTTTGGAGTCACTGATTTCATCCTCGTACAGAGAAAACGCCTGGAGGACACAAAGCAGAGGGACTTTCAGACAGAACCAAGCACTTTCCAAAGCAGTCCCACCAGACCTCCAGCCAGAGTCCCTTCGGACCAGAGCGTGTGGGCCCTCGGGGACAGGCGCGGGGCAAGAGGCACGGCAACCCAGGGAAGATGCCAACAAGCTGCAATAAGGAAACGGGTCTTCACGTTCTTAACCCAGAGCCCCCCAACTGAATTAACTAAGGACCTTTGTCTCCCACGAAAGCTTCACCATGACCCACCGGGCAATCTCCGATCTCCCCGGCACCCAGCAAAGGGCTGAGTTTCCATCGCCCCGCCAGTCCCCATGAGCATGGCACTAAGAAGTCCCGAGGCGGCGCGGAAGGGGCGGCCACAGACTCAATGAGCGCGAGCCCGCGGACCCCGCGGACCCCGCGGACCCCGCCATCAGGACAGCACGCGGGACCGAGCCCAGCAGGGCGGCTCAGCAACCCAGCGAGGGAGTGGCTCGTCACCTGGGACATGAACTCATAGGCCACGGTCTCGTGGTTCTCAAAGCCGATCTCTCCGGCGGCCAGCGCCCCTTGGAGAAAGAGCCGCAGGGGCAGCTCGGCCAGCTCCGCCTTGATCAGGGCGCTGATGGTCTGGTGCGCAAAGGAGAAGATCTTCTGGCACTTCTTCTCCCATTTGTCGTCCTGCGACGAGAAAACACGTTCCACCACCTGAAGCTCAGGATCAACTTGCTCAAGAACGTCTACTGAATCTAAACTTCTCCAGGGCAGACAAAGAAAGCAATACAGCCGCCCCCGCTCACGACGGCCACCTGAGCGCGGCGCCTCCGCACCCTCCACATGTCCCGTGTCTGTTTTCCTCATCAGACAAGCAACACGTTCCCAGGTCGGACAGAATTAGGAAAACAGAAGAATTTTAAAAATAAAAATCATCCCTAATTCTACCACCCAGGACCAGTCACTGAAAAGCTTCTGGAGTTAAGGTCTTCCCTTCTGTCTTCTTTGAAAACGTAACAGAACAGGGGTCTCTGTGTATAGTTTCTCTTTTCCACTTCACAGCAGCTCACTGGAAGGGTTAAATTAGGCTCAGACTGCACGTAATCTGTATCCAACTTCTTCTGTTACTTTGTCGTAACAATGTTCCTCATGATACTAACATTACTTAAGTCATTTTCATTGTGAGACTATATCCCACAAACTGGACATGGCATAAAGCATGATACATGTAACCGTGCCCTTCTGGGAACAACTGGGCCACCACGCGTGAACGACCCGTGTACACAGAGCTTCATTCGGTCCCTGCCCACTCCTCAGCACAAACTCTCAGAAGCACATTTATTGGACTTTCATGGCTCCAGTGCGTACTATCGGTTTTCTAGAAAGATGGCAGTAACGCACATTCCCGCCGCTGCGAGACGGGAAGGCGGCACCGCTGCCATCGCTGACTCCTACCTTCCTTTTCTCTTTGCCAGTGGCACTTCTAAAAGGGGTCAGTGCTGTGCCCACTAGTGAGGTTCCCCATTTTATCCATGTTCTTTCTGTGTTTGAAAGAAAAGCCACGGACTTGTTACGAGGACTCATGCAACGCACCAGGTGTGCGGTCCAGCACGGTGCCCAGCCCCTGGTGCGTGCGTGCCGGCTGCCATGGCTACTGGCGCTCTCGCAGAAACCCGTCCACGAGAGGCTGGAGAGGGACTGAACGAGCGGCTGGCCCAACAGAGCCCGGCCACAAGCCACAGGCCTTGCCGGCAATCTGCAGGGTGGTCCCGTCTCCCCATCACCCGAGAGTTAAGTTCTCTGAGGCTTGTTCCGTAACGGGGACCTGGCCGTGCAGCTTCCAGGTGCACTCGGTGCAGGAGGTCCCCATGGAACCCCGCCTGTGACGACCTGAGCCGCCAGCCTGCTGGCGGGGGAATAAGCTCGTAAACAGTAAAAACTGATTCGATGAAGGTCTCATAGGGCGAGGGAGGCCACCGCCCAGCCGCCCGGCAGGCAGAGCTGCCTTGGGCCGGCCCTCCCCGACGGGGCAGCGCACAGCAGGGTCCGGGGAGCACGTCCTTCTCGGCGTCTGGGCCAGCTGTGCAGCAGTGTGATCGCATCCCACAAGCGACCTTTACCCACGGCAAGAGGCCCGGGCACATTTAAACGGGCTCACTCTCATTTCTACGAGTTTGCTCGGGCCCGGCCGCCCCTCCACCAGGACGCACCCTGCCTGCGTCTGTCAGGGACGCCAAGCACAGGAGGAGCAGGGAGCTGAGGGCCGGTGGCACGGGGACCTGAGGGCACCGCTGGCTGCCAGATGTGAGTCTGAAGCCTGCAGCGGCCACAGGCTGAGGCGCACACAGAGGGAGGCGCGGGACGGGGTGGCTCGCGGGGGGCACCCACCACTTTGCAGCTCTGCTTGTAGCGGAAGGCCAGCTGGTAGGCCGCGAACACCAGGGGCGGCAGCGTGAAGCGGATCCGCTGGTTCCCGCCGGCTCCGAAGTGTTTCCGGGCCGTGTTCAAAATCTGATTGAAAAAAACACACAACCGTCAGCTTCTCCGCGCTGTGGCCGGTCCTGTACAGAATGAGGTGGGGGCTCCGGGCGCTCCGTCGCCGCCAGGCCCCCGGCGGCACTGCGCCCTCCGGCCCCACACAAGCCCTGCTGCCTGTCACCCTGAGACACACACGAGCCCCGCCTCACAGGCAGGGACGCCCAGGGCCGCGCACGTGTCAGCGCGCAGAGCGATGGGCGCGCCCTCCCGCACATGCGGTCTGCTGTGAGGCGTGGGGCCCTAAAGGCAAGACTTGGTCCAACACGTGCTGCTCACACAACCCTGGGCAGTTTGCTCGCCTTCTTAGCTCTCCCTTCATTGGAAAAATGGAGTAGGAGATTTCTCCTAGAGTCACGGGGACACGGAGTGTGACATCACCTGACCCAGGGCACGCGTGCGGAAGTATCGGCCATCACAGGGTCGCAAACAGCCACGTGCAGCCTGCCGGCATCTCCCGCCCCTAATCCAGAACAGCAGACCACTCGCGCCAAGGGTGACGGAGGGCGCCTCAGAGGGGCCGCTGAGAAACGGGTCTCCTCAGCTCGGAGGGCGGCGAGCGCTCACGCAGCGCCTTCTAGTGGGCGTGACACTGGGGGACGGACTCAGGCCCGAGGGATTCTCCGACACACACGACAGAGGGGAAGGGGGTGCGCCCCCCCCCCGGGGGGGCAGAGCAACGACCCCTGCCTTAAAGGTCTCTGAGCCTCGGCCCGGGCCGCTGGCCACAGGGAGTCCTAGCTCCTAGTAACCACCGCCCGGTGCGCGACCAGAAACGCCCACACAGTCAGGCAAGGGCGCGGGGCGCGGGGACACCGGGCACCCGCACGAATGTGGGCGACCAGGCGGTCCCCACTGCGACCGCTCACACACGGTGCCCAGCATGCCTGCCACTAAGCCAAGTCCCAGCTGTCCCACCGCCAACAGAGGTCAGCTTCCTGGTCACATGGGTCACGAAGGAGCACAGGCTGTCAGCTGTGACAAAGGAAGCCACAAGGACAACGTCGGGACCCAGCCTCGCACGACCCTCACGCACCCACCAGCTCGTCTGCTGGGCCCGCAGTCGCCGGCAGCCGGCTGCGCCCTCTGCCATGAAAGGGAGCTCCCCCGCCAGCCGCCCGGGCGCGCGCCTCGGTCACTTCACAGACGAGTACTGAGGACGCCAGAGAGGGAGGACGTCTGACTGCTCTTCCCCAGGAAAAGGGGGTAAAGGAAAAGGCTTTGTGAATTTTCAAGTCTTCACACACTTTCAAGGTGGCACACACACAACTTACACCTGCAAACCTTAGGAACATAAATACAGCTGAAGGCAAGGATTGTTGCCTCTACTTTAAAAGCAACACATAGTTTAAGAAATATGAACGAGGAATGATTACTGGACACCCAACTAAACAAAGACAGGCTTTTTTCCAATTCTTAAGAAGTCTTCAAAGGAAACCAGAGCAACCAACTTGTTCCTCATAAGCTCCAGAAGATGATAACTACGTGTTTATAATAAAGTGAAAGTCTACAATTCCGCTTCATCTCTCATTCAGTTGCGACTCTTTCAAGGCCTTCTCAGAGTGCCAGCTACCCGAGGGCACGTGAGCCGCCTGCACCCAGGTCCCCGGGGCGCTGTGACGGGCACAGAAGGGCGGACCCGCACCAAGTACTGCTGGTCGGGGTCCTCGGACCGCAGGAGGTGGATGAACCTGCCCACGAGGCTCTGCTCGTCAGCGAAGTCCTCTGGGTCGGGGTCCTCGACAGGCTGGTCCGGCTGGTCCTGGATCAGCGTGGACACCAGGTTCATTATGGAATCCACCTGGGACACAGGAGACAGAAAGCCACTGGGTGAGACCATCACTATGAAAAGCCACGGTCGAAAGTGTTCCCAGCTGTGCAGTCACAAAACGGCCGCGACAGGAACGTCCCTTTTTTATCAGCACGTCCGTGTGTGGTGACGCGCACAGACAAGCGTCTGGAGAGAGATGCGCCACGCGTTCGTCAACACCGGTCGTTCTCTTTCCGGCAAGGACACGGCTGTTGTGTCATCCCTTCCTCACGCAGCCCCAGTGTTGTAATCTAGGGAACAGATGCACCCCCCGCAACGACGCAGCGCCAGCTGGAGCCCTCCTACCTGGTCCTGAGAGACGATCTCTGTGCTGTGATCCAGCACGTTGCTCAGCACGTAACAGCTCATGCTCTTCCTGGACTCGTAGTCAAAGTACTCGAAGAGCGGGGGGAAATGTTTCAACTTCAGGACCGTTAAAATATTGTTGTACGTGTCCACAGGGATCTTCAAGAGCCTGGTGAGCTCCTTCGAGACTGCGCTGCTGGTGGCAATGCTGCAGGAAGGAGCGCGGCAGCCCGTCACCACGCGGCACTGCCTTCCCACGTGCGCACACGCGCCTGTCGCGTGCGAACCGGACACTTGCCATCCACACGGAAAAGGAAACAGGGCGGGCGAACCACACACCGCCCACGGTACTCCAGCGACCGCCTTCCAAGACACCCATCCGAATGCCCGCAGGCGCCCAGGGCTGCCCTGCTGACGCCGGCGCCCTGCGGCAGGGCTCCCGAAGACTGCCTGGAACCCGCCGCCCCCCAGGGAAGCGCTCGAAGGGGCACTCAGGCTCCTAGGGTAGCTGATGACCACCATACACTCATAGTGAAAGCGTAGGAAGAAAAGTCCTCGCACAACGAGCAAGTCGACACCACAGGGGAAAGGCAAGCGGTTGCTGCTGCCTCAGATGCTGGGAAATCCGGGAGCGGAGCAGAATTTAAGGAGCCGCGGGGAGGGCTTCCGCGGAGACTGAGGAATATCCAGTATTGATGAGAACCCTAGAGGTTGGGATTTCTAATTCTTTGTCTCATGTCACTATAAAAACCACTTAGTAAGGAAAACTACAGATACGTTACTGTTATTCAAGATCCGAAATGCTTTTCAAAATAAAAAAAGTAAACAAAAAAGGGGACAGACCAAAAGAAAAAAAGGGGAATAAACAGGCGAGAGAGAGAAACCCCCCCGGTGCAGCTGATGCCCCGGAAGAGCCAGGGAGACGGGTGAAGCCACGAGTGACAGGGTCCAGTGGCTCTGGCCCAGGAGTGTGGAGCAGGGACAGGCAGGGACAGCAGGGAACAGACAAGGGACCAGGAGCACCCACGACGGCCACAGGGGGGAGCCACCAGCCCAGGCGAGCACCGCAGAGGGAGCTCTGAGCAGAGGGAGCTCTGAGCAGAGGGCTGCAGTGCCCTTGGCGGTATCAAGAGATCAAAGCTCAAGACAAAACAACGCTGCAAACCAACTTCCGTTCTGCACCTTAAAAGACACACATGCCCCTAACTTTTTGCAACTTACTCATCTATAGGAAACATGTAGTGTAGAAATACGGCATGACATAAAGAGTTTCCCCAGCAGTTTAAATCCGGACTCACTCACACAGACCAAAGGGTCCGCCCTGGACACACGCCCCTGGCGCAGCTTCTGGCCCAGGTGCCTCTACGTGATGCACGTACACAACTAGGCCACCACCTTCCACACTGATGAGCCCCAAACGTGTCAACTGAACACATGCTTAAAACAAGACAAATGCTCCCATTTAAAAAAAGGAACTGAGAAAAAAAAACAAATCTGGGACCGAAACGTGCGTAATGAGGGCTTTTACAAAAATATAACTCTGACTTACTGTTCAAGGTTGAGCTTATTAAATATCTCCACTGTTGTTTCTAGAACTTTATCAACATAGTCCACACGATCAGGGTAACACTTCATAGCAAGATTAATGAGGGAGACTTGCAGCGACACCACGTCCTCCGAAGGCATGTCTTGTCTGGACTGGAATGTCGAGAAAGCCACAGAAGTGATTTCAAACCATCACAACAGGACCCGCCTGCCGGGAAAGCTCCAGGCTCCGAGGCCCCAGGAGGGAAGCCATACCCACCTGTATCACCGTGGCCACCTGCTGGGAAAAGATATCGAAGAGCTTGATGTCGGCTGGGATTCCAGGTCCATCCTCACGGTGAGCAAACAGGGCTAATCTGAAAAAAAACAAGCCTAATTTTAGAAGACACAGCGCCTGGGGTGGCGGTCAGAGACGGCATTTTCCTCCGCCCGCTCCTCCCTGCTTTCAGCTGCGCTGCTGCTCTAGAACACGCCGACAAGGTCTCTAAGCCGCTCAGCGGTCACTGAGCGGCCGCCGCCACCCTGCCTCGCAGCGCTCTGCCTACGCACCGCACTTGGCACCCCACGGACAGGCTTTCCACAGGCCAGTTTTGCCAAATTCTTTGACACCTAACCAAGCAGATACAGACAGCAGTGCGCTGAAGTGACAAATGCACTCAACAGCCATGATGATAAAAATCGCCTTTCAAAGATCGACGGTGCTACTGTCAGACACTGCGTCCTTACTGCTGTCGAGTTTAAAACCACCCATTCCAAAAGCAGTCAGGCGACCTCCTACTTCCCACGCACGGCACCGTGCACAACCCCGTCTGTCACGTGGCCACCTTCAGCATGTCCTGGTCGCACGGCTCCGCGCGGTGCCCCACACAGAGCATCACTGCTGACACAGATGCCTGAGGGCACCGCCACGCCCACGCAGGACCACCTGGTTCCTGCCCCCACTGAGCACGGGCCCAAGCAGCACGCAGTTCTCACTGCCCAGGACTGTGCTGATGATTTGGAGAAACCGGCTATATAAACTCAGACTTTAAAGCCGGTAACTTAGATACTCAGAACACAGCTCCGTAAAAGGCAGTATTTGTCAACCTAGATCCTCGCCAGCTGCTTGTTGCGCGTCGCCAGTGGGACACAGGTTCCGGGCTGGCGCTGGGCATGGCTGTCAATGAGACCTGCATTAAATCCACAAAGGCCAAGTTTTACATTTTTTTGTCCCATTTTATTTATTTAGTTTTAGAGAGAGGGTAAGGGAGGGAGATAGAGAGGGAAAGAAACATCGATGCAAGAGAAACATCAACCGGGTGCCTCCTGCATGCACCCCAACCAGGGGCCAAGTCCACCACCCAGGCAGGTGCGCTGACCAGGAATCAAACCAGCGACCTTTCGCTCCATGGGACAACTGAGCCACACAGGTCAGGGAAGGTTTTACACTTTTAAACAAGACCAAGGGCTACAGAAGTAAAACTTAAACCTAAAGGTAATTTACTAACACAGTAATACTTTAAAATTCTTTAAAAAAAAAAAAAAAAAAAAAAGTGATGCCCTTGGCCGGGTGGCTCAGTGGATTGGTGCGCCATCCCATCACCAGGCGGCTGCGGGTTCGATCCCCGGCCGGGGCGGGTGTAGGACGCAACCAGTCCATGTTTCTCTCTCTCCCTCCCCCTACTTTTCTCTCTAAATCAATAAACACATCCTCAGGTAAGGATTTAGAAAAACAAATGACGACAATGATTACTTGAACATTTTTAATCACCTATATTTTGTGGCTACTCAATAAAGACAACTCCCAAAACAACTGGTACCCACTGAAAGATAACTTTCTTCTTGGTGAGAACAAATGTTGTTCTTTCGTAACCTTTGGATTTCCAAGATTTAAATGATGGGCCTGCATAACAGTGTCTGCAAACAACAATGAAATGCAGAGCGTAAAACTGGTCCCTGTCCCCATGCTTCCTGCCACAGTCACATGCTCTCTCATGACTGGGATACGCAAGCTCTTGGTAGAATCTGATGCTCACAGAACTAACTAGTGTAATTACGTTAAAATCATTCCTATAACCAGGACATAACAGAAACACACAATTCCCAACACCGCCACGCTCGCTGCCCCGAGGCCCAGCGGAAGCCCCCACCTGTCGATGAGAGCGATGATGACGTTCTTCACGTTCACGTTCTGGTGCAGCTCCGCGCAGGCCCGCAGGAAGGGGCTCAGCGTCTGCAGGTGGAACTCATCCGGGAACACCTGCGACCAGAGTGTTTAGCCTTAGACTCAGGACTTCCTCGCGGTACTTAAAATTCATGTTTGTGGGGGTAATCACTTTGATCTCACACGACTAGATTAAAACACGTAACTTTTAAGCCTCTCCAAATGCAAGCCCAGGGAGAAACAGGCCACTGACCAAAGCCCCCCAGCAGCTCCGTGAGGCTCACCGGGCCTGGAAGGCTCAGTGGCTGCGCCTCTGGCGCACGAGGGAGAAAAGCACAGGAGCGCATTGTTAGCAGGAGAAAGTGTTCTTTATTCTGGAAAACTTGCTTTCTACTCTATCAAGATTTTTCAAAACAACGAAAACCAATGCAGTATAAAATGGGTCACTTAAAAAGCCCCGGCGCGCCTGGCCCACCTGGATGATGCACTCCATGAGGTACTCCTGAGCCAGGGCGTCCCTGCAGTTCACGACCTGCTCCAGGATCCCCGCCAGCACGACCTGGGGGGAAAGCCGGGCTGAGGAGGCGCCGCGCGGCCTGGGCTGCCAGCCTCGCAGGCCTGGGTTAGGGTTTTCTCACCCACACTTCCAGGTTAAAATGCAGACTCTTACAGGAGCATTTTTAAATAAAAAATCCTGTGTTCCTACTTAGGAAAGTCATTCACTAATTTGTCTCATCAATCTTTTATCTCCAGTTTGTGCTCTTTGCACCCTCAGCAATGTCTGTCGGATCCAAGATTATAAAGAGTTCCTTCGCATTTTCTCCAGGAAGTTTCCTGGCTTCCGATTTTAGATCGAGGTGCCTGACCCGTCTCTGAGATGCTCAGCCTGGTGTGGGGCGGGCCGCCAGGGGTCGGGCTTGCACGCAGACGCCCAGGTGCCCCGCGCCGTGTTGCACAGGCCGCTAGTGCGCCTTCAGAGAGCTGAGCGCACGGGCCGCACGCCGGTCCGCTCCGGACCATCCACGCTGGGGGTCTGCCCGTTGCTGGGTCAGCAGAACCCACAGGGCGCAGCATGTACAGACGACTCGGCTCGCAGAGCCGAAAAATAGTTACTACCTGGTCCTTTCCAAAAAAGGTCTACTGATCCTGCTTTATTCTCCTCCACTGACTTACATGTTTAAACTTTCACCAACACCACAGTATCTTAGATAACTCTAGAGTAAATCTACAACAGAATATAGTATTTCTCAATTTAAGATGAAAATTGGTAATTCAATCTTCCACTCCATAGGCAAAAACTCAAAATCAATCTTTCAGCTTATTTAAGTCGTCTCTGCCCATGATTTGCAACGTGGTACCTACTACTCGACAAAAATATCTCAGCTGAGAAGTCAGGTTTCAACGGTAACTCATGCCACAAGGGGGGGGGCCCACGAGAAGAGGCACCTGCTTGTAGCGCTCCACGCCGACGCCCTCCAGCTGGCTGAGGCGCACCAGGTTGGTGCCCACCAGGATCCGCAGCTCCTGCCGCTCCCGCTCCCTCTTCTCGCGGTCCCGGCTGTGCCCCTGGTGCTGCATCCTCACCCACAGCTTGTTCATCTCCGCGAAGTTGAGCAGCACGAAGTCCATGGAGTCGCTGATGTCGCCGGTGGTCTCTTCGCTGCAGGGACACAGATGGAAGAAGGCTCGCGCGCCGGGCTGACACGCAGGACAAACCCTGCCCACCCTCCTGGCGCGCTTCCTCTGCACCTCCCCCTCCTGGGCTCCGTGTTCAAGGCAGACAAACTCACGGGAAAAGCCCAGGGAGAGGACGCAGCACAGGCCGAAAGGGACATGATCCTTCCCCTCTCTCCCTTCCCTGCACCAGCCAGACTTGTCATGACATTAATTCAAAAAGCCTAAAACATCTGCCACGCTGTGCTGGTGACGCCACCACTTCACTGTGGAATGGGTCACACCTTCCAGTGGACAGGAAGCGCGGGGAAGCACGGGGGAGGGACAGGGCCCTGCGTCTCCTGCTCATTTTTGCTCCTCCTAAGATAAGGCACTTAGCAATTTTCCAAATTTCTTTACTGATTACCTAATTAAGTGCTCAAAATTGGGAGTCAAATCATAATAAAGCAAATAACATTCTTCTCTACTGTTTTTATCTTTTCTGTACCATTTTTTGTCACATGCATTGTGAAAATGTGTATTTTTTTCTTTTAAAACGGAGTTGATGCAGATATACTAAAACCCCTGAATTGTATATTTTAGAAATAAGTGAATAAATAAGCGTTAAAGAAAGAATTCCATTCTCCCGTTAGAGGAGAATCCAGTTCTCCTGGGAGCACAGGTGGCCCAGGCAGCGACCGCGGCCGGCACCGCGGGGGTAGGCGCGCAGGGGCCGCGGGCACCGGAGCCCCGCCCACCCAGGAGGCAGGCTCTCTCCACAGCTTCTGCTGTGCCTGTTTGGCGTTATCATCTAACTTGCGTGCACAAATAATTAGTCACTTATATTCCAGGGGAGCCAGCAGTCCGGTCCACGGATTATAAAAACTGACAGACATTCAAGAGACAGTGTGAACACTAGAAAGCTCATGGGAAAAGGGAAGAACACGCCCTCACTCCATGGTCTCACACGCTATTTGATGGAAGGGGAAACGCTCCCAACTGCGCTAAACAGGAAGAGCGGGTTCCAATAACGCCGCCACGGCTCTCGCGAGGGGCGGCGCGCCCCGCACCACAAACCCCGGGGAGCGCCCCACCACCGCGGGCCTGCTGCTCGGGTTCCTCCTCGGTGCTGCAGAGGCTCCCGGCAGCCGCAGCTGTGGACGTGTATTTCCTTCTACACACTTTCTATACTTCCCAGGTATTCTACAACAAAACCCCAGCCCAACTAGAGGAGGAAAGAAAGGCACCCAGCGGCCTGAGCGCTGGCCTGCGAACCAAAGGGTCACCTGTTCGACTTCCAGTTGGGGCACGGGCCTGGGTGGCGGGCCAGGTCCCCAGTGGGGACACGCAAGAGGCAACCACACATGGATATTTCTCTCCCTCTTTCTCCCTCCCTTCCCCTCTCTATAAAAATAAGTAAAATGGAAGGAAGCAGGGAGAGGGGGGGAGGGAGGGGAGGGGGAGGGAGGGGGAGGGGGAGGGGGGAGGGGGAGGGAGGGAAGGGAAGGGAAGGGAAGAGGGAGGGAAGAAAGAAAAGCGCGCACTCGGCTGGCTCCCCTTCGTCGGGCAGGATGTTCCTGGTGCACTGAAGAAGGTAGTTCCTGAGGAACAGGCCTCTCAAGGGGTGCTGCACGCCACGGCACATCTCCACGAGGTCCTTCAGGATGTCCTTCCTGGACTGGGGGAAGGACTTGACGTAGACCACTCCCACCGTGATCAGCAAGTAGCTGGAGAATCGCAAGGAAACAGTCGATTAGAAAGAACATACTTGAGTCGAGAATTCAATTATGTCCAAACATACCGAATACAAACATATGAAATCAACAAGACAGGGGCCTGGTTTTCTCCTACACGACTTAAAAAATACCATCAGATGTAAAACATGCACCCATACCCGTACAAATATGCGCATATAACCATCGCCTTTAAACACTAATTGGAAGAACTGTCGCATTCATTTTTCTAGCAGTCGAGACACTGAACAAAGTATGTACATTTCTATTTCCAAAATTTCTCAATGATCTATATAAACAATAAAATTAATTCTACTCTAAAACTTTTAAAAAATCATTCTCTACCAAAATGCTGATCACGTCTGTTAAGAAGTTAAATAGCTTTGAAATCGGTGTCTAGCAAAGCTGCCGATTTTGGTGGCAGTCACGCGCAGGGGGCGGCGCCGAGACAGCCCCGCGGTGGCACTCACAGCCGGGGAATGATGTTGCCGGCGTACTGCACGAGCTCGTAGAGGTCCGCCACCTTCCGCCCCTTGGCAAACTCATCCGTCAGGTAGACCTCCAGGTAGTGCAGCTCGTCGGAAATGGCCATATCTTCCCGTTCCGATTAAGGGCTCAAACGCACTGGGCACTGGGGGGAGGACTCGGGACCTGTCACCGGCCCTCAGCTACTGGGCAGATCCTAGACACCAGGCCGTCACCAGAGCGTGCGACGTGAAGGCCGGATTTTGGGGGACTTCCCTACTCTAGAGCAAGGTCTGGTGCGGCCAAGCACCAGAACCAGGACCGCCGTCAGAGGATGGAGGGGCTGAAATGGCCCGTCGCCAAACGCCTGTCTCTTTCAGAGGCCTGCGGGACAGACCCTGTGGCACGCGAGAGCCAGCTGCTGCCCAGCGTCGCGCCCCACAAGGGCCTGGGCCCCGAGGCACCACTCAAGCCCGCTGAGAGGAAGTCAGGCCCAGAGAGGGTTTCTGATACTGAGTTCTCCATTTCGTCACTTGGCACATTTGCATGGAAAAGGGATGCTAACCGCTGAGACAATGAAGAAAGTTGTGTAACTCCAGAAAAACTTAATAAGGAACAAACAGAACAGGGCCTTATCAAGAAAAACATAGTCAAAGTGTTCCTCCTCCAACATTCAAAAGATACAGAGTTCATAGTAGCTCTTTGGTGACAACATGGAAGTCCGGAGCTCGCCGAGCATGTTGGAGGCATGTTTCAGAGCGTCCATGAGCTTGTTCTTGTCCTGCAGAGGCACCGAGAGAATCGATGAGGCGCTTACCGAGACAAACGCTTCGCTATTCAGCCCGCGCCAGGTATCTGTTACACAGCTTTAAAGGGACACAACACGTTATGTTATTTCAATGCCATAAAGCTCAACTTTACTTCTCCTTGCCTTCTCTCTCCTGGCAAGAAAGGGGCGTGAGCCATCCTCGCAGTGTGCGGAGAACAGCAAGTCTCACGTGCCCAGAACCGCAGGCTGCCCGGCAAACCCCGAGCCCGCGCCCCTCCTCCCAGCCCGCCGCCGCGCCACTGGTCTATGCCCTCCCACAATCTGGGAGGCTGGCGGCTGATTCTTTTGAAGCAGGACACTAGACTGACAATGGCTTTGTCGCAGGTTGCAGACTCTCAGGACGTCTGGAGCAGCGACCCCTTAGCTCCAGGAAGCACCACTTGCACGGGAAGAGGCAGAGCAAGCGCGGGCACCCACCCGCCCGCCCGCACCCTCTGCTCCCAGCCTTTCTTCTTCTGTGCGAACGTGTTGCAAGAAAAGCAGCACAGCTGATGGGCCTGGTTAAGGGAGCGCGTTGCTGAGCTTCAGAAACTGTGAGGCACAGTAAGATACGATTGTCATCGTCACAGCACCTTGTAACTTAAAGTGCCAGCCTATGTGGTTCCATTTCTTAAATTTCAATCCAGAGAATCTACAGTTTCTACACAGGTTATCGCCTACTAAAATGATTTTAGAATTTGTATATAAAGAGGTGTGTATATAATTCTTAAGCTAGTGTTCACCAAAAAGTACATGCACATCTATTCAGGAGAGAAAAAAGGCTTCAAGGTAGAAAAAAGCTAGAAACCCCAACAGAAAGCGTGCGAACGCGCCCCCCGTGCGCACACGGCGCAGGCGCAGGCCCCACCAGGTGCCCGGCCGCCCTCACCAGGCATCTCTTCATCTGGAACGACTGCACCTTCACAGCCTGGATCGCTTCATCCAGGAGCTTCTCCTGCTCATCCTGAGGCGACTGCTGCGTCGTAGGCTGGGAAACGAAGAAAGGCTCCCGTCAGTTCCCAGCTGCCCCCCCCAGCAACCCCACTGTTCCAGCCCCGCCCTCCCCCAGGCGTTCTGGAAGGCCCATCCCAGCGCGCGCCCCGGCCCGCCGATCCGCGTGGACAGCCGCTGAGCAGACCACTGGGCCCAGGCCCTGATGCCAGCGCGCCACGGAGGGAGGGGACAGCGACGTGCACGGGACCTGACTCCCGGAGCTGGCTGAGCACCCTCCCGACCCGCCGTCTCCCAGAGCCAGAGGGCGGCTGGCGCGGCCCACGCTCCCTACCACACCGAGTCCGCCCAGAATATGGCCGTCAGCCCACCGCGCACTTGCGAAGGGGTATAGTCTGCCCACTCCCCAAAAGCATCCTTCTCTGTAGGCAACGTTTCATCTGCATCTTGGTCTATCCTTAGACCAAGGAGCTGGTTTACGGAACGCGGACCCCCTCAAGCAACATGTAACGGGGGTTGCACAGCTCAGAACTGAAAAGGCCAGGCTGTCGCTATCAACCTGTCCCAGAGCTCCAGGAAGAGCGCTCGGCCCCAGGGCCTACCTCTGCAGGCAATCATCTCAGACACAGAGCTGCAGTTATAAAGGACAAAACACAGCGGTTTACAGGTGTCTGCATGGACACCTGTACAGTAATTAATAAATGACGACACCAGAATGAACACTGTTCTGCCCTGCCCTGCATATCTCAACATGCTCTGCCATCAGCAAACACCTGCTCACAAAATGAGGGGGGTCCACCTGTCCGGCAGAATGAACACCGTGCTTACCCCCGGGTGCAGTGTGTAGCACGTTACAGTTGTTAGTCATTTTTGCACCCTTGGGACCCACTGCCTGACACATAACGGGTGCTTCACAAACGTTCCATGAATGAAAGCATGAGCTGGTGTTGGAATGTTTAGATTATGTATTTAATAAAAAATGACTAAAGAAACAGCAGCTGGATAAACCAACAGCGGTATACGCGAACGATGGAATCGCGTTCCATCCCCCCGAGAACCCCCATGAGGCCTGCTCTGGCTTGGGTTTTTTGTTGTTGTTTTTTTTTTTGACTCATTACCCCGGATGCAATAGATTTAACACTTACTAGAATCAATGGATTTCATTAAGTTCAGATGGTCAACTCACAGACAGTAGTGATACATCAGGAAAGTTTTATAATTACCATTTTATTGTGTTAAAACATATATGACACAGTTGGCCATTTTAGCAATTTCTAGCTGTGCGGTTTGGTGGCATCAGGTATGTTCGCGTCGTTCGCAGTCATGACCGCCATCCGCCATCTTTCCAAATGGAAACGCTGTTCCCGGGGGCAGGAGCTCCATGCGTCCTCGGCCCCCGGCAATCGCCATTTTACCTTCTGTCCCCGTGAGTGTGACTTCGCTGGGTAGGTCCTGAGTGAAACCGTGTAACCTCTGTGCCCGGCTCACTTCGCCAGGCCGATTACCTTCGGGGCCACCCGTGCTGCGGCCTGTGGCGCGGTTCCCTCCCTTTCTAAGGTTGAACAGCAAACACCACGTTGCACGGACAGACCGTATCTTACCCACTCAGCCGCGGATGGCCGCTTGGGTTGCTTCCACCTGTTGGCTGTGGTGGATAATTATTACTTTTCTATAGCAAGTAAAACTGTGGTTATAAAGAGATTACAAATAATTACAAAAATATTTGTATAGCACTAACTAGATTCAGTGATCTATAATAGATAAAACTTTAGCAAAATTTTTCTATTTGTATCAACTTGGTTTAAAAACTACCAACTTATTACAAAGGAGTTACAAATGAAGAGCTAAGGCTTTAATAAAGAAAGGTGTTTTTACACAGCACCCTAAGACGATGTCGCAGAGAGCAGGACACTCATAACATGGACATGTCCTCATCAAACACAAGCCACGTGGTTCTCCATTTATAAACTCTGTACTTAGCAGCTATGTGAACCAGAGGAAAACGGAAGCACTGCAGAATGAAGACCAAATTAACACTGGAGATTAGGCCCATTTTAACTTGACGCCCAAGCCAAACAGCACTCCTAAGTCCAAACAATTATAAGGTGCAGCGAAAGCAAAGGTCATCGTGACCTCAATTATAAAACCACTCTCCATCTCGTTTCCTCTTCTATCAAACAGGGAGACTAGGAGCACTCACGTCACTGTCAGGGAGAATAAAATGAAGACGCGAAGCTCAGCAAAGCTCAGCACTCAGCAATGTGCACTCCCTAAGTGCCACCACTACTGTCCCATCCTCCGCAGGCACAACTGTCTCCACTCATCTTGGCAACGCATTTGTTGGTCCACCTCTCCCCTCACATGCCGCCGAGTAACCTAACCACATAACCCCGACCCCTGCAAAATGAAAATGACCCACCCCATGGACACACGGAATTTCACGTTAGCGACAGTGCCGCTGAAACATGGTAAGGCACAAAGGAACAACTGAAGTAGGGAGAGCCGAGGCTGGTGAGGGGCGGGAACCTCGTGAGGGAGAGCAGTCTGAATCCCCGGCCGCCTCCCCCTCTGTGTCCCCAGGGCTCGGGATGACCCAGGCACCGCGGCGTTCACTGCCCCAGCCTCGTCTCCCGCAGTGCCCTTCCTTCTCCCCTTGGAGAATCTCTGCACAGCTTCCTGCTGTCTCAGTTCCCGCATCACCGTACTTCCTGGGGCCGTTCTCAATCTCCCAGGCAGCACTGCCCCTTCCACACAGAGACCCCAGCACAGCACTGACGATGCCGGTTCCTGGATCCTCAGACTGCGCTGCATTCAGTTCCACCCCGACGACCCCCATGACCCCCTCTAGATGCCTGAGCTCCATGGCTGCAAGGCCTGTGTGTTGCCAGTGCCCACATACAGGGCACCCAGATGCTGGGTCCTAGAATTTAGGGTTGGGAAGAGCCAAAGAAGCCAGCACTTGGTTTCAAATTCAAAAGTGAGACTCAAAGAAGACTGAGAGACTTGCCCAAGGCAGAGACAGTGACTCTGGCAAGACTGATCCTCAAGTTTTCCTTCTCAATGAAATTCCTGAGAACAGGGCTGTGCATCTGGCTTACTGCGCTCAGCGGGTTCACCCGGAGCAGAATCGCAGTTCAGGGGATTCTCTATTAAGGTTTTTCATTTGTCAACCGGTAAATGCTGAGAAACAGACCAATCCTAGGGAAATGTCTGCCCTGCTCTTACAGCAATTCCCAACTGTAAAACTTCTGAGCCACAAGCACAATCACCTTCTACGACAACATTTCGAAGGAAAGTAGTGTGTGTCGAACACGTAATTCTGCTTCCCGGCATTAACACATGTAGAGGGAAGCCAGTTTCCAAAGCCTGTCTGCACAGCGAAAAGCGCCAGCGTTAACACCGACGTGCAGTGCACCTGCGCATCCTTGAGATGGTGCAGACATCAGCAAAACGCCAATAAAATGCAAGTGGCAACTTGCCCTTCTGGAAACCATACACAAGGGTTCCCGTTTTGAGGAAGTTCCAGTTCACCGGCCAACAGCAGCGCCACGCTTTGCTGCCGCCGCCGCGGCGCTGAGAACGCCTACTTCCAGCAAGTGGAATACTTGGGTTTTGTCAATGGGGAGACCAATAAGGGAGCCAAGGTGCCCAATGACCAGATGTTACTAGATAATCACACAGCACGAGTCCTTCCAGGAAATTCACGTAAGCGAGTCCCTAGAAATCGCTGAAAAGCACCGCAGTCAAGGGAGCGACGAGGCCGAGAAAGGCCAGGGCACCGTGACGGCCCCTCCGCTGGGCATTTCTCGCACAAGAGAGGGCGTGGGGCCGGCAGACACTACCAGGCACCCAGGTGGGACGCCCGCAGGGAAGCCACCTCTCGGCCGGTCCCGATGCCACCTCCGAGCCTCGGGCCCTCCGCACGCCCCCGACCCAGCCCGACGCTCAGAGCCGGCACTCGGGCTCAGGGCGCAGCGGGGCGGTGGCCGACTGCGTTGAGAGGCGCCCACAGGCCGAGACACCCCCTGGGAGCGGCCGTCCGTTTCGGAGTCTCGACTGCGTCCAGGAGCCACCGCCCACCCCGGCGCGGATCGGCCCGCCTGCGGCCTTCCCCGGCCTGTCCCGCACCCCGCAGGCCAAGTCGGGCCGGTCTGAACCGCAACCGGGCGCCGGGGCCCTAACCCCGTCCGCAGGGCTCCGAGGCGGTGGGAGAGAGCAGGGGCTGGGAGAAGGGTCGGCCAGGGGCCCGCCGGCCCTCCGCACTCACCATGGCGACTCCCCTGGACCTGCGGCAATCAGCACGGTCCGCGCGGAGCCTCCCGCGGTCAGGTGACGCGACGGCCCCGCCAACCCCGCCCTCTCTAGCCCCGCCCCCGGACCGGCAGGCGGCTCCTCGATTGGCCCGCTTCTAGGAACCCAAATCTCGCGTATTTATTGGCTCTTGCCCTGAACTCTGGCCTGATGGACTGAGGCGCCAGCCAGTCTCTCCACAATGTGAGACAGGGCGGGGCGGGGCCGAGAATAGGGGCTCGCTCGGAGACAGGAAGGAGACAGCAAGAGGGAAAGGCAGCGTTTAGCGAGTCGGTGAAGAACGGAGAATGAAAGGAGTAAGAGCCGCTAGCCCACGTTTATCTATCTTGGCGCGTACACGCGGGTGCGCATGCGCAGAAAGAAGACGATGATTGGTATATGGGGTGGCCTCACGTTTCCGTCCAAACCAATCCGGATACAGAAGAGGGGTGGGGCTCGTCCGTCACTGGCGGGCGCAGCGTCTGCGCGCGTGTTTCATCGCTTCGCAGCTGTGCGCGCATGTTTTGTAGGCGCCATGGAGTCGGGGCTGATCCCGCGTTTGGCGCGGCGCTTGGGCATCCCCGAGCCCGAAGTACTGAGGTGAGTGCGGCCGCGCACGCCGCAGCGTCCCCGGGCCCTCCAGATGAGCCACGCCCCTCTCCCGCGGGCTGTAGGTCGGCAGCCGTCTTGGAGGAGGAGGTGGCGGGGGCGGCTCTGGAGGTCCCCGGAGCAGCTGGCTCCCCGGGGCGCACGGCGGCGGGGGCAGGCGAGAGTCGGAGAGCTCGGGTCATCCCTCAGCTAGTCCTTTGCAGCGGAGAAAGAAACGGGACACAGGCCCCACGGAGGTCTCTGTGTTGGCAAGAACTACGTAGAAAACAAAACAGGGTGGTGGCCGGAACGACGGGGGGACAGCGCGGCCCGGCCTGCAAAAAGTCAGGGGGTGTCAGTTGCGCTGAGACCGAATGGTAGAAGGGGCCCGCCTGGGAACGATGCGGGGAGAGCGGCCTGAGCGCAGGTAACAACGGCGTGTGCAAAAGCGCCGAGATGGGGAGGACCGGGCACGGCCCAGGGTCAGGAGGAAAGCCGTGGGAGCGCAGGCCGCGGGCCGGGCCGGGCGGTCAGGGAAGGCGCGGCGCGCTCCGCAGAAGACCTCAACCGAGACCTCTCGGACTCGGTTGTCTCCTAGGACTGCGGTTCCCAAGGTGGCTGCGGGACCGGCGGCGTCACCGGCGGCGTCTTGGCACTAGTTAGAAAAGCAAATTCTCGGTCCCCGCCCCTCGCCTGCTGAGGGGAACGCAGGGTCACACGCCCCGAGGTGATTGTCCTGCGCGTTAAAGTTGGAGGACCGCTGACTTAGAGGGGGAAAAGGAGTAACCAGCCTCTGCGATACTTCGCGCTTGTTCCAGGAATGGCGGGCAGGGAGAAGGGTTGTTCTGGGCGGAGTTGGAGAGCTCGCTCTGCCCAAAAGCGGTGCTTGAGCTCAGCGGCGTCTGAAGCCGCAGCGCCCCGTCCCCGGAGGATGCGTCCGCCCCGCAGCCCCACGTGAAGCTACGCAGGACGCGGGCTCGGACTCGTGTCGGCCGGCTGGGTTCAGTCGCCCAAGGGCGGGACAGGCTTCTGGGGAAGGCACGCAGTGACCGCGCTGCCCTTGTCACCAGGAAAGCGGAGGAGTACCTGCGGCTGTCGCGGGTGAGATGCGCCGCGCTGGCGGCGCGCACCACGGAGACCGGCCGGGCGGCCGTGTGCCTGGACCTGGCGGCGGCCTGCGCGCGCTGCCCCCTGGACAGGGTAAGGGTCCCCGGGTCCGAGGGACCAGACCCCTCCTTTCTGGTCGGACTGTGCCCCGCCCAAACTCTGGTGGTTCAGAAGTTTCCTGGCTATTACGTTACTAACTGTACAGGAATCTGAAAACCATTTTGTCAAGGTGGAGGGGGAAGAAAACGTTTTGCAGCTTCTCTTTATTATTTACGGCCTCGTCTCCCAGGCCGCCCCCCCACCCCCGAAGCACACACTATGAAACCCATGTGTTCTTCCTTTGGTGTCACGGGTTGAGAGCACAAGGGAGGGACACATGTGTCACACACAGAGACCAGATCTCACCTCCACCAGTTACTAGCCCTGTGAGCCTCCAGGTTCCTCATCCATGAGGCAGGAGTAGGAATGTCGGTCTCACTGGGTCACTGTGAGGAGCAAACAGGGCACCGTGTGACGCCGTGCCGGTCACACGGCAACAGTCATTAAGTGGGGCATCGAAAACGCCCTGGGCTCCCAGGGGTCAGCAGACTCACGGCCTGTCTGGAGCCCCAGGCTCAGGCTGCACCGTTCCCTCTGCGGACCCCGCCTGGAGCGACTCCGGGCTTTGTCGAGCGTCGCACTTTCTCAGCCTGGACGCTCTCCCGGGGCTCCGTCTGACTCGCCCACCCTGCCCGGTCGCCTCCTTTGTGACGGCTCCCCCGGGCAGAGCGGGCTTTCTCGGCTGTGGACTGTTTCCCTCCTGGTTTCCTTCTTTTCTCCCTGCCCCCTGCCCCACACTCACCATCCCCACCCGCTCCCCTGCTCCCCTCCTCCTCCCGTGGGCACCGAGGGTGAAAACGGGTGGCTGTGTGCGTGTCCCCCGTGTGCTGCAGCCGGCTGCAGTGACGCTGTGCTTGTGCAGTGCGAGCGCCTGGCCGGCGCCCTGAGCCCTTCCCCGCCCCCGACACAAGCGAGCGCTGACCGTGGGCCAACAAGCTAAGCCTCTAGGCAGAGCCTGGTCACAGAATCATCTCGGGGGTCGGGGGTCGGGGTCAGGGGGTGGACGCCAACTTATGATTTGTGTTTCCTTCCAAAGGCTTATTTAACTACACTTTCTGGTTTGAACAAGAAGACGTATCAGAGCTGCCTGAAATCTTTTGAGTGTTTGCTGGGCCTGAATTCCAGTGTTGGAATAAGGGACCTCGCGGTGCAGTTCAGCTGCACAGAGGCGGTGAGCCTGGCCTCGAGGGTGCTGCAAAGGTACGGGGCCCCGCGGGCCTTCACCGAAAATGTCCACTGGTTCCCAAAGCAAAATTAGCCGGCGCCCTGCCCATCTTTGGCACTAAAAAATAACTCATGTGCTGAAGAGACAGGGCGCGCATCTCATACATTCCAATAGCTTTTACGTCCCGACTTGCGTTTTCCCTCCCTTTGAAACACCGTTTTCTAACGCGTACTTCTGCCCACACCGCCTTCCCGCAGCTACCAGGCCAGCCTCCTCCAGGCGCAGCAGGCGGATCTCGACCTTTCCCGGCCGCTCTTCACCACCGCCGCGCTGCTCACGGCCTGCAGGTGAGCGTCGGCGGCACTCGGGGCCACCGTCGCGGGCGCCGCTCGCGCCCAGGGGACACCCCGAGCCTAATTTACAGCAGCTAGGCCTGCTTTCCCATGGAAGCACCATTAGGAACAATGGCCAAGTTACCAGGCTCTCGGTTTGTCCCACCAGGCAACTGACACCTTGCAAGCCACGTTCCCCAAAGTCCCCTTGCCATGGGCGGCCGCACGTACAAGCTGAGTGTCCATTCCGCTTTCGGGGTTCACCTCCTAAAACTGACGAAGTTTGCCGTTCAGACCGTAGCCATTTGTGATTGTCCATGAAAAAGAAACAACTGTACTGCTTTCAAGAACTGATTTATCAAATTCTTTTGTAGGATTTTAAAGCTAAAGGTGGATAAAGATAAAATGGTAGCCACATCCGGTGTAAAAAAGGCCATATTTGACCGACTATGTAAACAGTTGGAGAAGATCGGGCAGCAGACAGACAGTGAGTATAAATTCCGTGTTTCAGAGCCGTGACGCATGAGGATGTAAACCTGCCGGAAAAGTCCAGTATTTTCAAACTCACAAAATGGCTGCTTTCTGAATTCTATGTTTAATGCGGACCAGATACGTTCTTTATGAGAAAATTGCGTTTTCTATTGTTCAAAGTAGCTTAATAACTCCCGTAAAACCTACGATCCTGCGAACGCACGCCCAGAAAGCGGACCCTCCGGAGGCGCGCCTGGGCGTCGGGCGGCCGGAAGAGCGTCTCCAGTCCGCCCGGAGAGCCAGAGAGCTCTCCTTTATCCTAGTATCGGGTCCATCGAGGATCTAGTTTTTTTTGTTTTTATTTTTATTTTGTCTTTATTTTTAAATTGATTTTAAATGGGCAGGGACAGGAGGGACATCGACTTGTTTCTCTACCCACCCAGACACACACTGGTGATTCTTGTATGTGGCCTGACCAGGGATTGAACCCGCAACCCCGGCACATCAGGACAACGCTCTAACTAACTGTGCCACCCAGCCAGGGTGGAATCTAGTTTTTGTCATCCAAAATGTGCCCAGATACTAAAATTGAGAACAGGAGGAAAATTAACCTCGTTGATACTTTTTTCCTTAAAGGAGACCCTCAGGATGCAGGCACTCCACCGTGGAAGAAAAAGAAGGCAGCAGCTGAACCTCCAGGAGCACAGGGTGAGGTGTGCCGACGTTAACACGGCCGCGCACAGAGGGTGCGTGCAGTGCGCGACCCGTGCTGCACACTGACACGCTAATGGCGGGGCGGGGGGGGGGGGGGGGTCCTGTCCCCGGGGACAGAGCTGAAGCCAGACCGCGTGGGCCCAAATCCTGCCCTGCTCCTCCTGGCTGTGGTTTTAGGCGTGTCACTTAATTTCTGAGAGCCTCGGCTTCCCAATCTGTGAAAGGCAATTAGTATCAGCCCCCAGCTGCCGGAGCTGTGGGGAGGGTAAACGGGGTGGGGCTAGCGTTACCCACAGCCAGGGCGTCGCAGGTGCTGGGGGCACAGGGCACAGATCTGGCGTGGTAGCCGCTCCCGCTTTGCGCTGCAGTGCCCTGCTCCCTGGTACCGTCACAATTAGTCACTTGAAAGTAGTTTACTTTTTTCTTACGTCACCTGTAAACAGAAGAACCTTGAGACACTTGTGAAAATTCTCTCCTGCAGAAATAGAGACGGTAGCAGAGGCCCCATGCAAGCCGCAGCCTGAAGAGGACCAGATGCTGGATTACGAGGAGTGGAAGCGGAGGATTTTGGAAAACGCTGCCAGGGCGCAGGAGGCTGCGGCGGAGTGAGTCCTGTGTCCAGGCTGCCGCGTGCCGCGCACCCGCCGCCACTCCGCGACGGGGCAAGTGCTCTGGGGTTTTGTTGCAGCTTCCAGAACAAGGATCCTAAGACTGTTGCCTGAACAGCAAGGACGCCGGCCCCTGACATAGGCGACAGATTGACCAGATCAGCCCCGGTCCTGGTGCTGCGGCCACAGCTCCCGCCGGCCTGCCCCCCGAGGGGGACCATGTTGCTCTCATAGCGAAAGACACGTCTCCCAGCCTGGCCTGAAAAGCTCGGGCTGAGGGGCATCTTACGGGTTTTACTTGAGTTTTTATATAAGTTTCTTGGTTTAACTAAATATATAGTACAACATAGTTAATAAATGTTATTTTTATATACATTCACGTTGCCTTGGTCCTCACTTTGGGGGAAGCCTTGCTGTGTCCACAGCTGTCCACCGTGGCAGGCCACACGCCGCGCAGTGCCGCTCAGCAGAGCGTGGGCTCCGGAGTCGGAGGCCTGGGCCTGCCCCACCCCGCACAACTGCACACTCGCTCCCGGCCTCGGGCCTCATCCACTCATGGGACTGAAAGTGGCGCCCGCGCTCGCTGGGAGCAGAGTCTGAGTCAGCACATACATGTGAAGCATGTAGCGCGGTACCTGAAAGTAGTACATGTTACAATAAAGAGAAACACACAGCTCTCGCATGGTGAATTACACATTCACACCATGTTAAAAACCAAATGGACTACAGCTTATTTTCTTTGATATCCACATATTGAAAAATGTCACCTTACCAAGTACTAATTTTAAAACTCCGGGAAAGGGACTTTATGGAAGATAAGTTGCTACGGGCCCTGAGTTACGCCAGACGTGATTTTAAAAATAAGACTACATGACCCAATTAAGTATTCGCGTGAAGAATGCAATAAAGTGACTGCATCCAAATAGTAAAAACCTACTCAGCAGATATCAATACCCGCGGTTGCCTTACCTGCTCTCAGGCACCCTACCTGCCACAGGCCCTGGGGCGCTCACAGGGGTGCCTGCCCACCTGTGTTACTTCTGGACACTTAGCAGCTACACCCACGGGGGGATCCAGCCTTTCGGTGTGTCTGGGCCACACATTAAATATGCTGTGACACAACCACAAAAAATCCATGTTTTAAGTGTAGGACCCTGTCGGCCACGTGCACAGCCATCCTGGGCTGCGTGCGGTCCGCGGGCGGGACACCCTGTGGCCACAGGCAAGGGATCCCAACTCGGTGCGTGGCCAGCACACCCTGGGGGAGGGGACAGCCGCACACTGGCGTCTCGGTCCTGGCTCTGCCACTTGTCCCCTAAGGAGATTTAACCCCCTAAAGAGCCTTGGGGTCCTCACTCACAAGACGGAGGCACGTCAGCGCCGCAGGAGAGTTTAAGGCGGCGCCTGCTCAGGGTGCCAGTCTTCCCCCTGTGTTTTAAGAAGGTACGTAATTTATTTATCTGGTGCCGCAATTTAGATTTCTAGCTTTGGATCAAAAGCAGTCTACTCATCAGGTAAAATGAAGCCTCCTCACCTTTTTGTTTTAATGTGTAAAACACATATAACATGAAATTTACCACCTCAACCATTTTTAAGTGTGCAGGGGACCAGTGTGAAGGCCATTCGCAGTGCCACGAAACCAATTTCCAGACCTTCGCCTTGCCCAAAGCCGAGCACCCACTGAACAAGCCCCCAGTCCCCACCCCGCCCGGGACCACCGTTCACTTTCTGTCTCTGGACTTCAGTCCACGTCTCGTACGGGTGGGATCACACGGTGTTGACCTCGGTTTCATTGCGCTCTGTCCTCAGGGGTCATCCAGCCTGCCGCACGTGTCAGAATCTCCTTCCTTTTCGAGGCCGATCGATGTTCCCCTGCGTGGACGGTCCCGTTTTACTTCTCTCTCAAAGCACACTTGACTGCTTCCACCTTTGGGTGTTGTGAATAATGCCGTGGGCAGCGGTGTGCACATGCGTTGTGTGCGAACAACAACTCCTCTTCCAATTCTTCTGTAGGTAGAAGTGGGATTGCTGGATCGAATGGAACAGTTAGTTCTATTTTTATATTTTTATGGCACTTGCCATTGCCTGTATGGCTCAGAGGGAACATCACCCAGTACATCAAAAAGTTGGGGGTTTGGTCCCCATAGGGGAGGCAACCAATCACGTTTCTCACTCCCTTTCTCTAAAATCAGTAACTATTTTTTTAACTTTTTATGGAACCTCCATATACTGTCCCACCGTGGCCGCCCCAGTCCACACTCCCACCGCCAGGGCACAGGGCTCCGGTTCCCCGCATCCTCGCCAGCCCTCGCGCAGCAGCCACCCTAATGGGGGGGAGGCGACCGCTCACTGCGGCTTCGATCTGCATTTCCTCGTGACCACTGCGCGCTCCCCGTGCTCTCAGACGCTCACTCTTCTGTGACACAATGTGTATTCGCGCCCTTGTCCACTTCTGACCTGGGCGGGTTGCTTTGCGGGAGGAGGCTGTCTAGCCCCGCAGGTGTTTTCTCCCGCGTCTGAGGCTGCCTTTTCGCGTTGGTTCCATGAGAGTGAATCTAAGTACTGTCTGGCTCTTCCCCCCTCTGTGCCTTGAAAGTACATGGCGGTAATTATTTTGACTCTCTGGATCACAGGAGGTACTTGGTTATTTCCTAAATTACGGGGGGGTAGGGGAACGGCCAGCACGCAACCCTGTCCGCGTGCCCGCCTACGGAGGCGCCTCTACGCAGCGCCCTCGCGGTGAGGGGAGCTCACCACTCAGAGTCCATCTGTTTCCGTTGGGAAGGCCTTTGGAAAGCTCAGTTCTTTAGCAGCTCCTCGTGGTTTAACTGATTTTTTAAAACTTTATCATGAAAGTGTTCAAATATGTACAATAGTAAAGAGAACAGTGTGGTCAAACCACGAACCGAACAGCCAGGTCCAAGAGTTAATAAGCATTTGTCACACCCGCTTAACCCATGTTCCCCTTTTTTTCTGAAGTCATTTCACCTTCAGTATAACCACCGTCACCGCCGTCATCGTGCCTCTCAAAATTAACGGAAAGGCCGTCGTCATCAAATGTGCAAGTGAGAAATACATTTCCCCGCAAGTCTCTATAATATCTATTGTCCACTCAACCCAGGGTCAAAACAAGGTCCACACTGGACAATGGGCTGGCTAATTTTTAATTACAAAGGCAATCCATGCTCCTCACTGAAAGGAAAAAAAGAATCAAACGATACGAGGTGGGTTCCCCCCTCCCCATCGTCCGCTTTCCGCGCCCCCCCATCACCTCCGTTGCCTCTGCTGGGACACGTGACGGCACACGAGGCCTCTGTCGCTCCGGAAACGGGAAGACGCTGAGCCGGAGCAGCCCTGCCCTGGGCCGCGGGGGCGGGGCGCTCCCCGACGTGGACGTGGCGCGCGGTGTGGCTCAGCCCACGCCGGAGGCCATGGAGGCTGTTTCCCTGGGGCCCCTGGTCTAGGCCTGTGGCACTTGTTCAAGTTCTGCTGAGGGTAAGTGTCTGGAAATGGAATTGCGGGGCGAGACAGTGGGCGTGGCTTATTGGGTACCTGTCCATCAAACGGGGAAAGGACTCGGGCAGGACAACAGTGTGGTGACGGCTCGGGGGCGCGGGGCCTACCGGGACTCAATGGGAATGGGAAACCATACAATAAATGCTTTTTAAAGTGGAAAAATCATTTCCCCATACCCTCCCCCACCCGCTAGGTGGAACGGTGGCTTCTGCCACCCCCCGGGGCTTCTCGTCCAGCAGCTCCCAGAGACCGCGTGCTCCCCTGAACGGAGGAGCCCCCGGGAAATCGTGGGTGCCGGTGCCCGGCAGGCTGGAAGTATTTTTGAGCTACGTCCACACCAGCAAAGTAGAGAACTAAAGATCTCCAGAAAATTAAAGCTTCCTAAAAGCTTCAGAACTTCAGATAAGGGAGGCGAAAATCCACATGCTCGCTCCCTTGTGGGCGCCATAAGGGGACTTTGGAGAGAAACTGCTTCTCTAGGGGGAAAATAACAGCAGGTGGAGGAAAAAATAAAACTGGGGAGATAAGGGGTTCTCTGTCTGCCCTGCCCAGCAGAGAAGCCACTAACCACGCGTGGCTGTTAGGCACTTACAATTAGCTACTACAACTACAGGACAGAATTTCTAATTTTATTTTAATTAAATGTAAAACTGGATACTTAATTCCATTATTAGAAAATGGTTAAGATATTTCGAACAACTTGAGTATTTTTCTGCAGTAAGTTTTATGCAACCTAAATCCCCATTGAATATGCCCGATGAAAACCTAGCATGTGATTGAAAACTAGAAGCCATCCACCAGATTCTGGAGACTTAGCATAAAAAAAAAAAAGAATATAAAGTGTCTCAATAATTTTTATGTCGGTTACATATTGAAATAATGCTTTGAGTCATTGTGTTAAATAAATTACTCAAATTTATTTCAGCAGGTTTCTGTTTTTGAAGGGACTCTGGGAGGTACTTCAAAGGCGCACGTGGCCCGCGTATCACAGCCCTGTCCAGCACGCTGCTGTAGCTCAGCGGAACGCACCCGTGTTTCTGGGGACAGCGCAGAGCGTCCCGCAAGAGCCTTCGTCGCAGAGGCCACGACTTGCCCGCCCACACGGAGCTACAGGTGCCTCTGTAACCAGCGCCTTCTGCGAGCTGCCCTCACAACACCTTCTTCAGAGGTAACCGATGCTTCACAGTCGAGCATTCGACCAAGTCCCCGTCTCGCTCACGAGAGGCAGTTGCCAGCGGCCGCCTGTCCCGAGGTCCCGTGAGCGGGCCAGCCTGGAGCAGGCTGAGCCGAGCCGGCCCCGGGAATCTCAGCTCCCGGCCAGGAAAGCCAGCCCGAGGACTTCCATGCACCCAGGCCGTCTGCCGAAAACCAGCCTATATTTGGACAGAAATCCTGAAAGGCTAAGAAAGAGCTGACTGCTTAACAACCCAAAGTAACTACTCCAACTAAAACAGCCTCCCGGAGGGGTTGTGGGAACAGAACAGGCCATCGGACTAGAAGCAAGGAAAGGAAAAGGGTTGTTTGCTTTCGACTGATAACGCACCCCTTGTTTATTGTTGTGAGCCAGTTAACCAGCAATGCAGCCAGCGGCACGCCCGTGCTACAGCGGGTCCGCGCTCCACTCCCGCCGCACGTTGTTCTCGGCTCTCCCCCACTGCGCACCAGTTCCCACACTTCCCAGACCCTTGATTTGCGACTGAGGAGGGAGGTTGCAGGGTCCGGGACAGGGCGGAGCTGGGGGAGGCTGGAGGTGGGCAGAGACTTTAAAGGCACATTCAAAATGATGCTTGTTCTGATTTAGCCATGACAGTGGGTATATTTTGAAATATCAAAGACGATTAAAGGGTGCATGGTCTGATTCTCACAAGGGAGCACAGGCTAAAACAAGCGGGAGGATCGCCGCCCTAAGTCCACGTTGCTGAACCAAGAGCCGGTTGCGCGACAGAAGGTCCGCCCACCCTGAGCAAATCAGACTGGCAGGAATTCTCTGCGCGGCGGGGACACTGCGGACCGACATGCACCAGCTCCTTAATCAGCAGGTTCAGAATTCCAGTCTGACGCGTGCACGCACAAGCGTTCCTACCTACGACAGCGCGCCCACACTTACCGCCCCGAGTTCCCACACTTGGGGAGCACGTGGCATTTCAAACTCCGTGGTCTGCCACGGCAGAAAAAGGCTCCTCAGTCACTTTCTTTACAGCCTCTTTTCTCCCACAAGGAAGGCGACCGCCATCACGCTTTTTACAAAGTAAGCGGAACCAGTATGAGGAAAAGGCCAGACGGCTTAAAATCTCAAGTTCTCACGTGGCCACCGGCCCCAGTCACTTCTCACCCCGGTGAGCAGCGGCGCTGAGGGTTAGGAACAAGATGGGAATTTCCTTAACCTGTTGGCAGCGGTCACCACGTTGAAATGTTTCTTGAGACGAGAGAAAAAAAAGGCAAGAAAGCAAATGTTAAAAGAAAACAAAAACAATACAAGGACTTAAGTTAGGCGCTTGGGTTTCTTTAAAACTGATAAAAGGGGGAAACCGAGGTTCCAGCAAACTCAAAGTGGACCAGTCATGTGACTTTCAGGGGCCTGTTTGGAGCAGGTACAAAGTGAGATCACGTGGTACCCTTTTCACACGGAAAATGGAGCCCCCCAGAGCGTCATGCAGCCACACCCGTGGGTTCAGACCAGAATGCTCTGGAAGGAAAGCAAGTGTGGTAGAAAACATCAGAGCGCATCCCAGCCTGGGAAGCCAGTGCGGCATGTATGCTCATGTGTGATCCCATGATCATGTGCGTGATCGTGTGTGCACATGTGGTTGTGCAGGTGATCGTGTGTGGTCACGTGTGTGGCCGTGCGTGTGTAGGCTGCAGCTGGTCTTCCAGGGGAAGCACTCTCTTTCTGTTTTTTCAACAAAATCTGAGTCTGTATCAAAAGGCTGGAAAGCCACGGCCCTGGAGGACAGTGGTTTTTAAGATACATTTTGTGCGCTTGGTACTGAAGAGTTCTGTGTTAAGCACATAGTATGCAAAACTGTAAAAGCGCGCTTTCCGAGCCCCTCTGCCTGATGCGTGGAGGGACCCGGGCCTCAGGCTGCCGTTCACTGAGGACCTGCACTCCGACCTCATTCTGTCCCCTCAGGTGTCCCTGAAGTGCGAACTCAATGCCACTGCGACTTTGGTGCCCGCTCATATTGGGTCACTGGCATTTTTTTAATGGAAGCGAACAGGTTTGACACCAGAGGGTTTTTTTCACCTTAACGAGTCTATTTAGAATCCAAACACAAGTGGCAGCTTAGCTACGATTCTTCCAAAGGACGTGGCGGGAAGACAGATGCCGCCTTTACCGGGAAAGCGTACCTTCCACTTCCTGTGAGCCATGTACTTCTGCAGCAAGAGCTGGGATTTCAGGCAGACCTTGGACACGGAGGCTCTGGCCGGCAAATTACTCAGCCACTCATGCTTCAGGCACTGGGTGGCGCTCATTCTGCAGCTGTGACGCCAAACAGCGGGCGGCACGGTTAGTGGGCACTGCTTTTCTGGTCGGGAGCCTGAGTCAACGGGTCAGGGCAGCTACGGAGGCAGAGCCATGCCGCGCCCCCAAAAGGGAGCTCCCCATGGCTAGAATGCCCCTCAGGAGGGCAAGAAAGTGGTCAGCAAAATGTCCCCGGCCTCCAGAGAGGGGCTGTGTCCCAGTGGTTGAGTGGGCCGTTGAGGCAGGGCCGCAGCCCGCGGTGGCCAGGGGAGCCCCTCCGAAGGCAAGGACCGGGAGCTCTGGAGGAAGCTCCCCTCTCTTTCCAGATGACAAAGGCCAGCTTGGTCCCCCAAACTGGAACTATCTTTCCCCCATAGCCTTCGGCAATCAGAAAGAAACAGACGGTACCAGCCCAGGGCCCGAGGCCCATCTCAGAGCCCCGCCTTGGCCCTCACCCCCGGGGGGCTCCCAATGCCTGAGAATCAGAGAATGGAATGGCCCGCCCACGACACTGACGGCCCCGCCTGGCACTCCGTAGGCCTCCCCGGCCAGAGAGGGGGCCTCCTGGCCTTTGTTCTGGGAAATAACACTGCACAGTTCCACTTTTTTCCAACATCAGTCTATGAACACCAATAATTTGGAAATGGGACTGATTTGTAAATACGGCCCTTTCTAAATCTCCATCTAGAGAGAGAGAAAAAAAGTAGAAGAAAAAGCAAACCAAAAAAAGAATAAAATAGAAAAAAGAAAACAATAAAACTCCACCTGGATGTTACGTTCCCCGGTGTTGTTTTTTAACTATTTCCTTCATCATGGTCCTGCTACCTTTTTGCTCCAAAGAGGGAGCACACCGAGAAATCCAGGACAAGAGGGCTCCACAGGAAGAACGGCCCCTCCCTGACTGTCACCGGCCAGGACGGGCTGTCACCATCAGAACGCATTACAAATGACAGGCAATAGAGGTACCTCTTCTCTTTGACCAGCAGCCGGGAAACGAAGTCCTTGGCGTCTTCCGACAGCCCCTCAAAGGTGTCGGCGTCAAAATCCCAGCTGCAGTTCACAATGAAGTTCATGGTCTCCGCGTCTGTGTCCCCTAGAAACGGGGACAAGCCACTGAGTCTGCGGAGGAGAGAAAGGACCCTCAGCATCTGGAAGCCACGTCGGGCAACACACAGCGACAGGACACAGTGGGATCCCGCCAGGCTCAAGCTGAACCCTGCAGCCCAAGAGGGTTCCACTGGAGAACAGCGCGGACTCCACACTGCGGGCAGGGGCGGGGGGAGGCTCGGCAGGGAGGGCTAACCGCCGGCAGGAGGGCAAACGAAGCCCAGCGCACTGCCCACTGCCCCCAACCTTGAAGTAAAGAGTAACGCCGGCCCACCCGTAAATGCATGTGTCAGGTGCACAGTGCCCTAATTTAAACAGCTTAGCACGTCCCTGAGGTCTTAGCCTGTCTCCATACGCCCCAGGCCTCGGGCAGGGCGGCTGGGCACCCTCACCAGCCGGCCTGGGGCTTCCCCCTCCCCCCTGTCGCAGCACACACACTCACACACACACAGTGTGGGGACACGGTCGCACTGGAGCCCTAATGATAGGACTGGAGCAAAGCCTGACTTCTCTGGGACAACAAACAGGGAGGGAAGTCCCCGCGGAGCAGGATGTTTAGTCTGGACACAAACCGGTCAGCCCTTCCTAACAGCCTGGTCGGCCCACAGGACGTGCGCAGGGGAGGGTCAGTCGCAGGGGAGGGTCAGTCACGGGGCGCAGCAGGCGGCCGCCCCGCCCACCCGCACGGCCTGCCCGCATCCCTTTGCTGGAGAGCTTTCTCCCCAGGGGCCCAGGAGTTTCAGGACTTAGTGCCCCAGGGTCAGCCCACGGGCCATAACTGAGAAAAGCCGGTGAATAAGCCCCCGTCTCCCTGGCAACTCCACGGAACAACTGAGGAAGTGAGTGTCCAGGACAGATCCCGGAGTTCCCGCCAGGACAGGCCTCCGTCCCCACGGGGTGACTGGCTCCCCGGCGCCCTCTACTGGCTGCCTTCCCCACGGCCACCTCCCCACTGTTTTGGTGTCTCCCGGGCACACCTCCCCAGTAAACGGCTCCCACTCAAATTCTTGCTGCTTGTAAGTGAGGACACCCCACCAAGACGGACGGCCGCCCCCACCGGGCACTCACAGCATGTAGGTGATGACGCCCACGCTCCACATGTCCGTGGGGAACGAGACAAACTCGTAGTTGACGACCTCCGGGGCCAGGAACTCGGGAGTGCCGAAGTTCACCTTCAGCTTCTCCCGAGGCTTGTACCTGGGGGGCGGGGGGGCGGGCAGGGTGAGGGGGCCGCGGGAGTCAGCCCCGGGGCGGGGGAGATGCGGGGCTGGGCTCCTTCGATGAAAGCTGGACACTGCCGGCCCCGTGTGCCACCACACACGGGTTACCGGGGATCCTCAGCCCCAGGCCCCGACTCGGGCTTCCCCAAGGCCCCCCCAGGCCTTTACAGTCTGAGAAGGAGACGGTCACTCTGCATCACTGCCCGCCGGCCGGCCCGCAGCCACACGCAGGAGCCCAGACTGGAAGGGAGCTGTGTGGAGGTGTGTGCTCTGCCACGCGCAGTGTACTTGGCCTCGGGGGCTTAGATGCCGCAGAGCAGGCTCACCGTGTTGATAACGGGGCCAGCTCTGCCTGTGCAGGCCAGGGGGCCTATGGGAAATCTCCTTTCCTCCCCTCGATTTTCCTGTGAAGTTAAAACTGCTCTAAAAAAAAATAGTGTCCAGTCAAAAATTGTAATGGAACTTCCTCTTGGCCAGGCACCATGTGACTGACAATCCACCCAATGCCAAGGGTCTGCTGCTGCTACTGCTGAGAACCTGCCGACGGTGGCGGGGGCACGGGGGGCCGCGGGGGGGGGCAGGGCCGCGGGGGCGGCAGGGTGCAAGCCACCATGGCCAGAGGCCGGCGGAGGCTGAGTGCTTCCCGTACACGTGGCTGCCCGGGATCCAACGGGGAAACCAGGCTTCACCGGGCGTAGGGCATTGTAAGGGACTTGAAGATGTTTTACAATGACAGGCGGTACTCTCTGCCCTGACACTTGGGAACCTGCCCACCCTCCTAGGATGGCTCTGCGCGGTCACGTATCTTCTCATTTCACCTTCATAACTGCCCGTCAGCAGGGACCTGCCGCCAAGGTCCACCGCGCCCTGAGCGGCCCACACCCCACGCGGTCACATACGCACTTTCCCACTTAACCTCGTCCTTGCCGGGAAGGCGGGGCTGCTGACAAAGGCCAGCACACAGGCCAGCCCGTCCTGGGCCCGGAGGCGGGGAGCAAGTAGGACTGAGCTGCCAGGCCCCTCGCGCCGCTCTCTGCGCACCCAGAGGGTCTGAAGGAGAAGCAGAGCCCACCCCACGGCGGCCCCTGCGGTGCTTACGGCCTGAGGCCGCCCGCCGCCTCTGGGGGAGCGTGCCTGTGTCCGTCCCCAAACGCAACGCCTGGCTGAGCTATGGGTAACCGCGCCCAAGAGCGCTCCCGAGGAGTTCGGCCAAGGCGCCAAAGCACACCCCGTACCTTCTGGCCAGCCCGAAGTCGATGATCTTTATTTGGTGTCCCGTCTGACTGACACACAGGATGTTCTCCGGCTGGGAAAGAAGGACAAGTCTGCTTAGGCTCAATCAGCAGCTAAGATGGTCTGCAGCTCCCACACTTGTTTGTCCAAAGGCCTCCACTGCCCAGCCTCCCAGGGAAATGAATGGCTCAGGGCAGCCCTACAGGGAGGGAGGGAGCGAGGGGTGCATGGATGGGCGGATGGGTGGGTGGGTAGACGGGTGGGTGGAGAGAGAAATGGGTAAGAGAGATAGGTAGATAGACAGACAGGCAGACATTGAAAATAAATAAAGTGGGCTGGCGTGAGACAGCCTGGGGTGGTATAAACTGCAGGGAACTCCTGCCCTATATAAAGAGGCAGCCACATACGAATGCAGTTCCTCAGTCCTCAAGGGAAGCCAGAAGTCCAGGTTTTGATGCGAAAATCCTACGCTTTTAAATGCTGGCAACTAATCCTTGCTGACTCATTTGTAAGTTCTAATAGTGTCCCGCCCCCCACCGCCACCTCCTTAGGATTTTCTACATACAAGATCATATCATCCGTGAACAAAGAGAGTTTGACTTCTTCCTTTCCGATCTGAATGTCTCTTGCTTCTTTCTTGACTATTTGCCTTTGTTAGAACCTCAAGTACACGTTTAACAGAAGTGGCAAGAGCAGACATCCTTGTCTTGTTCCCAATCTTGAGGAGAAAGCATTCCACGTTTTACCAGTAAGCATTATGGTTAGCTGTTTTCCACAGATGGCCTTTATCAGACTGAAGAAGTTCTACACCTGGTTTAGTTTAGGGTTTTCATCATGAAAAGATGTTCAATTTTGTTAACTGCATCTCTTGAGGTGATCATGTGATTTTTGTCCTTTACTCTTTTAATATGGCATATTACATTGATTTGCATTCCTATGTTAAACCAACCTTGCATTCTTGGGATAAAAGCCAACTTTGTGATGTGTATAATCCCTTTTTAATACATTGCCGTAGTTAGTTTGTTAATATTTTACTGAGAAATTTTGTATCTATATTCATAAGGCATATTGCTCTATAGGTTTTCCTTTCTTGCGAGTTCTTCAGTTTTGATATTCAGATAAGACAAGTCTCATAAAATAAGATAGGGTGTGTTCCCTTCTCTTCTACTTTTTTGAAAGAGTTTGTAAAAGTTGGTGCTATTCTTCTGGAAACATAAAGTCTCCAGAAAATTAAAGCTTTAGCCCTGGCTGGTGTGGCTCAGTGGATTGAGCGCCAACCTGCGAACTAAAGGGTTGCTGGTTCAGTTCCCATTCAGGGCACCTGCCTGGGTTGCAGGCCAAGTCCCCAGCTGGGGACGCACGAGAAGCAACTGATTGATGTACCTCTCGCACATCAATGTTCCTTTCCCTCTTTTTCTCCCTCCCTTCCCCTCTCTCTAAAAATGAATAAATAAAATCTTTTTTAAAAAAATCTCATAAGCAAAAGTCCAGAAGCAAATGGCTTCACAGGTGAATTCTACCCAATATTTCATGAGAAATTAACCCCAATCCTTCTCAAAGTCTTTCAAAGGAACAAAAAAGGAAAGAACACTTCCAAACTCATTCTCTGCGGCCGGTATTACCCAGGTACCCAAACCAGACAAGGATGTTACAAGAAAAGAAGAATTCAGACCAATATCCCTGATGGATACACATGTAAAAATCCTCAGCTAAATATTAATAAGCCAAATCCAACAATACATGAAAGGACCATGCGCCACGATCGAATGGGAGGTATTCCAGGGAGGCACAGAGGGCACAACATACGCAAACCAGTCCACGTGACTCACCAAATCTACGAAACGAAGGATAAAATCACATGGTCATCTCAATAGATACCGAAAAAACACTTAACAAAATCCAACATCCATTTCATGATAAAAACTCTCAACAAACTTGGTATCGAGGGAACATACCTTAACATAATAAAGGACATGGACAACGTACTCAGTGGTGAAGAGCTGGAAGCTTTTCCTCCGAGATTGGGAGTAAGACCAGGAGGCCCACTCTCACTACTATTCAACATGGATTGGAAGTCTTGGCCAGGACAATTGGGCAAAAAGAAAGAAAAAATAAGAGGCATCCAAATAGAAAAGGAAGAAGTAAAACTCACTGTTTGCAGATGACATGATTTTATATACAGAAAATTCTAAATAAATTCTAAATTTCCCCCAAAAAACTGTGGAACTTAAAAACAAAGACAGTAAATTTTTAGGAGACAGAAGCAATATACAAAAGTAAGTTGCATTTCTATATACACCAAGAAACTATCAGAAAGAGAAATAAAGAAAATAATCCTATTTACAATTGATCAAAAAGAATACATATTTAGGATAACTTTAGCCAAGCTGCTGAAAGATCTGTGTACTAAAAACCGTAAGATACTGATGAAAGAAATTGAAGAAGAAACACTTGGTGCTCATGGATTGGAAGACTTAATATTGTTAAATATCCAATTACACAATACAATCTACAAATTCAATACAGCCCCTGTCAAAATCCAATGGCATTTTTCACAGAAATAAAACAAACTACACTAAAATTTGTGTGGAACCACAAAAGAACCCAAATAGCTAAAACAGTCTTGAGAAAAAACAAAGCCAAAGGCAGCATCACAATTCCTGCTTTCAAACTATATTATATTACAAAGCCATAGTAATCAAAACAGTATGGTACTGGCACAAAAATAGACACATAGCTCAATGGCACAGAATAGGGAAAACCAAGAGATAAACCCACATGGGAGGAAGGAAGGAAGAGGAAAGGAGTGAAGAAGGGAGGGAGGGAAGGAAGGAAGGAAGGAAGGAAGGAAGGAAGGAAGGAAGGAAGGAAGGAAGGAAAAAGAGAGAGAAAGAAATGACTGCCAGTATCAGTGCTTACTTTTTGTCAAGTAGACAAAAGAAAGTGTACTGCATTCATTCAGTGAAATATCCCACGGCCCTTAAAGAGAATGAGAAAGCGTGTCTACAGTGCCCTGTTGACTAAGAAAGACCCGTGTACAAAGGAGATGCAGAAGCGACTCCTTCGCTCATGCGCCAGGCTGCATTGTGAGTGCAGAAGACCTCTCAGCGCGGAGACCAGGTGGGAAGTGCTTTCAGTGTCTACTCTACAACATTCCTATGTGGTCTCTACTTGCTACCAGATGCGCACGCTCCTACGTTAACTTTTAAGAAACTAATTTAAAAGGTATTTTTAAAGAAAAAAGTCACATTGTTTAATCTTCCAGGATCACTTACAGATGTATGGTATCCATGTTTTATAGATGGGAAAACCGAGGCTCAGAGCGTCAGCCAGACTTGTCCGCCCTAGACTCCGGAACCGGAAATGGCAGGGAGCCAGGGCGGACAGCCGGTGTCTGCGGACAGAGCTCTGCAAGACGTGACAGCAGCACTGGCCGGAGACCGGGGCCTCCCAGCCGCCCGCGCCCCCGCCCGCCCGCCCGCAGCCGCCGTGGCCCGGCGGGGCCTGACCTTGAGGTCCAGGTGCAGGATGTAGTGCTGATGGAGGTAGTGCACACCCTCACAGATCTGCTTGGTGAAGAGGATCACGTCCAGTTCGGTCAGGTGGTACTTCTCATCTGTGATTCGGTCGAAGAGTTCGCCCCCGTCCACGCTGCCGGAGCAAAGGCAGAGGCGGGCGCTGCGCTGAGCGAGGCTCTCAGAGAGCTGGCCTGCTCCCGACGCCGCCCCAGGGGAGCCCGGGGATGTCGCTGTTGCCTGGGGTCCTACGGGGACCTGCACTCTGGCCACTTCCCAGCTCAGAGCACAGGTCAGAAAGAGGAGGTGGCAGGCCAGGGGGAGGCTGGGTCGTGCCCGGTGTGGGCAGCCGGGCTCCGTCTGGCCGCCCTAGGCCAAGGCTGTGAGCTCGTCAGCCCCCTGGGACCCGTTGGTGCCTGCTAGGCAAGAACCCCAAACGGGCTGATCAGACCCCTTTCCAGCTGGAAACACAGGCCCGGCTTTACTAGATCTCCAAGAAAAGCCACACACCCAGGTCACAACGCGCTATTTCCCCGTTTCCAACGGCCAACACCCAAATCAAAGTCACTAAAAACCGCGCAGGCCCAACGGAGACCTGCAGGTCCAATCGGGCTCACGGGCTGCTGTTCTGGGACAGAGGCTTCGTCCTCCCTGCTCCCCGCGGAGGTCCAGCGGAGGGGGGGGCGGCGTCCATTCCTGGGTGGCTCGGAGCGGGGGAGGGAGGAGTGCTTCGCCCAGGCCCCTGCTCCCAGCCCCGCGCCCCCCGCTGCGGCCGACACTCACTACTCCATGACTAGCGTGAAGCTGTTCTTGCCCTCGAAGGCGTCGTAGAGCTGGATCAGGTTGACGTGGCTCAGCTGGTTCATGATGGCGACCTCGTTCTTCACATCGTCCTTGCAGAGCCAGAGGGGAGGGGGGTTTCCAAGAAACAGATCAGGAGGAGGGGCCAGCTGCCCCTCTGGAGGCGCACGCAATGCGCACCCCCGTGTGCCCACCCTGCCCCCTGATTCCTGCCCTCGCACCAGGCGGCCTCCACTCAGCACCCAAACTGGATCCTGACAACAGACCCGCCCATCTCAGAGCCGGGAGAGGCAAGCCCGAGAAGGCCAGCCACAGGCCCGGGGGGGCACGGGGTCAGGGAAAAGAGGCAGGGAAGGAGGCCGGCTCCCTGCTCAGCGTGCGCGGGCCCGGCCGGGCCCGGGGGCTGAGGAGGACGCGAGGGCCGGTGGCCTGGGGTGGACGCCTCACCCGATCCTTGGCGTTCTTCACTTTGATGATCTTGGCTGCCAGCAAGAGGCCCGTGGACTTGTCCGTGCACCTGTGGACCTGACCGAAGCGGCCCCTGCAGACATGAGGACACAGCGGCTGAGAGCCCCCGAGCTCGCCCGGCACGGCACGCCATCCGCCCTCCCACCCCCGCCCGCCGGTCCCCCCTCCTCCACACGCACCGCGGGGACGGCCTGCACGCCAGGGGTGCCCGTGTCATCGGCCCCACTGCACGGGGCTGCCTGGCACCTAGGCAGGAACCGCTTCACCCCACAGCGGCCCGCTGTCCTGCGCCCCAGGGAGCGAGCCCCTCCCTGCAGCACGTGCTTCTCCCCGCCCCCTATGGTCCTCCTGCCGCCTCCAGCACACAGTCCCCACCCCCCGACGTCGTGGGGCTCCTGTCCTCCAGGGGCTGCCCTCCTCGCCCCCCACCCCGTGGACAACCCACCCACTGCTCACACACACCACGCCGGCCCAGCACAGCCAGTTCCGAGACCCGCCAGCAGCCCCCGCGCCGGCTCCCCAGGCGTTCCCGCCCCCGCGCCCCGCGCCCGCCCGTCGCCAGGGCCGAAAGCCCGCCTACCCGCCCAGGACTTCCTGCTGGCACACGCTGTAACCCGCCGAGGCCGACGTCTCCTTGACGCTCACCAGCCGGTGCTCGAAAGGGGCTGGCGGTGCCGGGGTGTCATCTGCTCGGGGGACAACAGCCCGTGAGCCACTGCTGTGCGGCCCCCACCTCTCAGCCACCCGTCCCAGGCCCCCTCGGCTCAAGTGACAAGCCCTGCGTCCTCCTCAAGGATCCTCTCGTTCAAGTCAGCCATTGGGCAGAGGAGAAAGCTGAGTCCCAGGGAGGTGAGGTGGCGGCCAAGGTCACACAGCAGCAAGCTGTGGGGCCGGGGAGGCAGCTGGAGGCGCACAAGCCCCTCCCCTCCTCCTGCCCTTGGGTGTCCCCATGGGCACGGGAGCCTGTGATGCAGCCCGGCAGCCAGTCCTGGGGGGTGGGGCGCGGGGGGCACAGCGGGCTGGGGCGGGGGCAATGGAGGACGCCGGCGCTTGGAAGGGCAAAAACGGGTTAGGGTTTTTCTTCACATCTTGTCCTTCAGAGGTGATGGGAAACTAGAAATGTTACGTGAACTAGGGGAGAGGGATAAACCAGAATCAAGAAGGCACACCGAACACCACGACCTAAGTCAGCGTGCGTGCCGGGGCGGGGAGGCCGCGGCTGGGCCGACGTTGGCGCGGAACCTGCCGTGGGAGCGCTCCGCATTCCCGGAACAGGTCCCGTCCTCCGAAACCGAGCGAACGCCGCGATTTTCTCTCAGCTTTCTGCCTCCCACCCCCCCACCCCCAAGCAGACGTTCGAATTGGCTCTGAGCCTATATCTGGCTTCTTTTTTGTTCCTGCCAAGGCCGACCCTGAGCCCTGGACTCCAGGCGCTAACATTTGTGGGCTTTGCTGTTTTGTTCTTTTTTCTGGGCCCCTAGAAGGCGGGGAGAGCCCGGATCCCCGGTGCGCGCAGCAGGTTCCAAAGCTAGAATTCCAGCCTCAAGGTCACGTAGCTGCCTTGTTCCGCACGGTGGTGTCGCCGCCGCGAGGTTTCCACGCGGATCCTCGAGCCAGACAGCCAGGGCCGGGTCCTGGCTCCTGCGGCAATGATGCCCGCCCTCTCCTGGCTCCCCACCCACAGGCCTGCGAGGACAGAGGCCGGCACCCACGCGCATTGCTGGGCACAATGAATCCTCATTGTCGCATTGCCGCCCCGGGCTCAGAGAGGCCTCGGAGCCACAGCCTGCTCTCAGCCGGGCTGCAGGAAGAGGGGAGGCCTGCGCCCGTCCCTGGGCCAAGCTCTACACCTGGAAACAGCAGCTGGCGGCAGGGCACCTGCGGCGCCCAGAGTGGACAGGGCACCAGCGTGGCTGCCGGGCACACAGTCCTTCCTGGGGCTCTGCAGGGACCCGGGGCAGCGGTCGGCCGAGAGCGGCTCTCCTGCAGCCACAGGGGAAGGGCCCTGTGAGCGGGTCGGCTGCAGGAGCCGAGGACCTTGGGAGCACGGAGCGCCGCCTCCGGCAGCACCAGCACAGAGAGCAAGCTGGCACCGCACCGCCCGCACCCGGCCCTGCGGTGAGTGGCCCACGCGGATGCCGGCTCTTCACCAGGAGCCTTCTCCGTGCCCTTCCAGGACAGCGGCAGCGGAAGGCTCAGGCAGGCGGGCGCTCTGGGAACTCCGCCGGTCCCTTCCTCCCCACAGCTACGCTGACGCAAGCTCACCGGCCCCAGCAGGCCCCAGCAGGGTGTTCCAGATCTTGGACCCCAGCCCTGCCTTCCCGCTCCCTGGAAGCTGCAAGGCGGCCCCCAGGAAGGGGCCCTCCAAACCCGAGCCTCGCTTGGGCACATGGCACCCGCCTCACTTACCCAGGACCAGGCTGCCGGCCTCGGCTCCCAGGAGCGTCCTTCCGGCCTCAGCTCCGGGGGGCGTCCTTCCGGCCTCGGCCCCTGGGGGCGTCCTTCCAGCCTCGGCTCCGTCCAGGCCCCCGGGACTGCAGTCCTTCCCGGGCTCAGGGCTCTCTGCTCCTGGGCCTTTGTCCTGCCGCAGGCCCAGGACCCCAGCGCCACCTCCCGCGTCCCTCTGCACCCCGCTCGGCCCCGGGGCAGGCTCGGCCGCGGGCCCCTGCTTGTCCTCCGCCATTGCTGCCCCATCGCTGCTCCGCGCAGGTGGTGGGGGGCACTCACTGGCTCCTTCCGGGGTCTGTTTTTCCAGCTCAGCCCCAGGGGCCTGGGGACAGCAACTGGGCTCAGGTGGGTCCTGCTCACCTGGCTGGGCAGCCACGGGAGCCTCCGCAGGGGGTGGGAGGGTGGGGCCACCCCCTTGTGTCACCAGCAGCTCTGCAGCGACGCCCGTCTCCTGCACATGCACGGAGATCCTGGGCAGAGAGAAAAGACACAGCCCTGAGAAGGTCAGCGGACACTGCTGTCCACCGCGGTCTTCCCCTCCCGGGGGCGTGGGGTGGCCCAAAGGCACCGCCACGCTTCACCTCGCCACACGGCACCCTCTGGCAGGTAGGCACCGCACATCAACAGCAGCCCTCGGTCGCGCCGTCCGCATCGGCCCAGGCAGGGCGGCCGCTGCCACCCAGAGCCACGGCTGAGGGCGGGCCTCTGTCTACAGCCTGCAAAGCGCAGCCCGTGCCAGCTGAGGAAGGGCCGGTGGGGACCTCCTTGCCTCCCGAGCCCCCCGGCAGGGCCACTGTGCCTGAAACTCAGCTCGGGGTGGAATCTGCCCTGGAGACCTTTCCCCCTCACTCTGAATCTTTGGGGAGACCCTGACGTGTCCATGGAAAGTCCCCCCACCATGCCCAGATGCCACACTTAGACCCTGGCCGGGATCTGGGAGGCCTGCCAGGGACCCTTCCCTCCAGCTGGTGGGGTCTCCTGGAGGCTCCCGGTCCTTCCAGAACAAAGGCAGACAAATGGCCCGGGCTTCCGGGCCAGTGGCCAGAGCACGCAGACACCAGCTCCCCAGCCAGGCCCCGGAGGGCGGGCTCTGCGGCAGGTCAGGGCGCCCCAGGATGGCAGGGAGCACCGGCCCCTGGTGGGGAGCCTGAGAGGCACAGTGCCCTGCAGAGGCTGTGGGGGGAGGGAGGCTGGGGCGGGCCGGCCCCGGGGCTGGGGGAGGCGGGGGTCAGCGGTGCTGGCTCTCCACTGTCCTGCGCCATGTCAGCCAAAGTCACACCCCGTCCTGAGGGCCAAGTCACAGCCCCACCTCCAGCACAATCCTCCTGAAAGCGCCCCTGGGGTGCCTGCTCCTCTCCCACCACACGGTTAGGACTTAACGCTGAGCTGAGGAAGCAGGATGCAGAGGTCAGGGGCGCAGATTCTGATGGATCCCAATAGCCAGGGTCAGGGGCCCAGTCTGAACCCCCAGCTGCGCGGCCCTGGGGGCTCTGGGCCTCCTTCCTCGTCGGTACCCTAGGGGGCCAACCACACTCATCTCCTGGGGTGTCGTGAGAATAAAACGAGACGCGGCCTGGCACACGCGGTGCCCAGCCTGGAGCGGGGGCTGTGGCGGGGGAGCCGCAGCTGCATCGCCCGCGTTGGCCTAGCAGCTGGGGGTGCTCAGCCCCCGCCGGGATCCCCTGGGGCGCTCGCGAAACCCAAGCGAAGCAAAATCCACGCCCACACCTCACTCGGGGCTGAAAGCATCCAAATCTCTGGGCATCGCTATCTAAAACTTCCTTCTGGGCGATTCTTACAGACGCCAGATAGGAAACCACGTCCGGAGCTCCCGAAGCAGGGCCGGGCCTCGGGCTGCCTTCTTGCGAGGCCTGTGCAGCACCACACGGACGTGGGCTCACGCAGGCAGCGCCGCGGCGGCCCCTGCCGCCCGCCCGCCCGCTCCCCGCCCAGCTCCACAGGGCCCCACCCACCTGGGGGGCACGTCGCCACCCCCGGGAGCGGCTGGGACCTCCTCGGCCGGCGGCCCTGAGGTCAGCTCTGTGCCCTCCTCTGCAGGCTGAGCGTCGGGATCGCCTGACAGTGGTGCTTGTCCTGCGTCAGGCGCGGCCTCCTGGGTGGCGGCGGCCTCGCCAACCCCGCTGGGTGCTGCGGGCAGCTCCAGGCTGGTCTCCGGGCTCTCGCCGGACGCCCCAGGAGCTTTGGCTTCTGGCTCTCCGGGCAGCGGCAGGGGTCCAGGGGGCACGTGGTCGGGACCAGGAACGCTGTCTTCGGGCCCCGGCAAGGCCTGCGGCTGGGCCAGGACGTCGGGTCCCATCCCGGAAGCGCCAGCGGCGGGCAGCCCCTCCGGCGTCCCCTCCGGCGGGTCAGCCTCCTGGCTCTCTACAGGGAAACAGGAAGGCAGGCCCGTTGGAGGAATCTGTCCCAAGGATACGACAGGACCAGGCGAGGGGCCCACGCACTGAGACGTGCTTGTGAGAGGCAGAGTGGAAACAGCACAAGGGCCCCCCGTGGGGCAGGTGGACGGAACCAGTGCAGGTCCCACAGGCACGGCTGCGCGGCCACGACCATGAGGGGCAGAGCCTGCCACGCAGCTCGGCGGCAACCTCAGGATGGGCTGCAGGCAGCCGTGGCACAGGGCGTGGCGCGGCCCTGCTCCATCTGAGACATGCGTGTACGCGCATGTGCGTGGGCATAGCCAAGTACGGCGCGGCCTAAAGACATCGCACCGCAGGGAAGGGAAGAGAGAAGCTTCGTAAAGTGGCTACATGTGGCGGGGCAGGGTAGGTGCTCGTCTTCTCTGCAGGCCTTGTTTTGTCCGTTTGACTTTGGGACCGTGTAAATAGGATGCAACGTGGTAAAAGAAAATTGAACTTTACAAAGTGCAATCCGTGGAAAGTTAAAGCAAAGTGGAGAAATCAACCTCGGTATCAAGCTGGCAGCACAGGCCAAGGAGAGGAACGTTTCCAAGTGACTTTAACATGGCAACAGACTGTCCGTCTTTGCACAGGACAGAGACAGACGTGTCTCGGGTGCTGGGTGACGGCCGCGTCGGTGGCAGAGGTGGCGCCGGGCGTGCGAGGCAGGGGGACGCGGAGGGGCGCACTCACCTCCCCGAGGCCCCTCGAGCGCGGCCTGCGCGGCCCCGGTGCTCAGCGCAGGCTGTGGTATGGCTGCTTTCTCTTCCTCTCTCTTCTTGTTCTGGAGGGACAAGCACACACACTGTCATTGTCGTCATCGACATCACCACCCGGGCCACAAACATTTGCTGGGCACCCGCCCTGTGCCTGAGCTACAAGTGCGCGCGCCGCCTCCCTGGGACCCCAGCAGTGGAGGCTGCTCCGCCACATAGTGACCCAAGACGTTCCCCGGGTGCCGTCTCCGTGGGTCTCTGCGCTGCTGCTCAGGGCGGCCCAGCCCCCGACAGAGGTCTACACGGACCGGACCCCCAGGCACTTGGGCCAGGGACAGAAAATACAGTTCATCTTAAAATGTCAACTCGGATCGATCAGTCACGGCTTGTGGAGGGTCAGCAGGGGTGCGATCCCAAGACAGATGCACCCTCGCTTGCCAGGGAGGCAGGCGGGCGAGCCCCACGTTGCCCCAGGGTGTCCAGGCAGCGCAGCCGGGGCACGAACGCGCGGGCCCTTCAGTCCACCGTCACCGGTTGGCCACGACCCTGAACTTCGCGGCGCCTCACTTCCCCGCCTGCAGAACGGGGCGAACACCCACTACTCAGACCTAGTGGGAGGCTGGGGGAGTTGACCCGAGGGCGGTTCTGGGAAGGGCGCCCGGCAGGTGGGGAGAGCCCCGGGCTGCGGGCGGCTGTCCTGCCTGTGCTCTGCGAGCCTGCGTGCGAGGACGCTGGGAGCCCGGCCCGCAGCAGCTCGGGTCTGCAGCGGAGCTGCGCCTGCCGTGCACCCGCTCTTACACCCCGACCGCTCCGAGCAGGCAGTGCTCCTGAGTGTGGGTGTTTCGAGGTGGCCTGACCCCTCACCAGGTCCCCTCGGTGCCTCCGGGGGTCCCGAGCATTTGGCTGGCAAGGCAGCAGGTCTGGGCGCGGCCTGGAGCCTGGGCAGAGCCCACGCTGTGGCCACGGCCCCGGCCCCGGCCCCGCTTGGCAGCCCGGAGGCCAAGTACAGCCGCAGGTGCCGTTCGCTTGGCTTGCGCAGTATTTTTAAAGTTCTGTGATGCAGACCGAAGATCTAGGAGACTTTTACGTTGGAGTTCCAAGTGCCCTTTTGAAGTGACGGAGCTGCTCTGTATTTGGACTGTGGTCGCGGTTACTTGGGGGAACACATTTGTGGGACTGGGTACTTAAATGTGTGTGCGGGACGTTGAACTGCATGTAAACTAAACCTTATTAAATCTGATTGGAGAAAAAGTCTAAGTTCCCAGTGTCTCTTAAAAAACAAAAATGCGAACACCGGACTCCTCCAGGCCCACGTGGCACACACCAGCAGGAGCAGGTCCCTCCGACGGGGGGCCCCGGGCCCCTGGCCCTCTACACGTCCCCCCGGCATGGAAATGGGGGTCGGTCCCATCGCTGTGCCTACCCTGCGCCCACGTCCCTCCATTCCCTTGCCCGCTCGTATCTTTGAAGTCTCAGGACACCAAGCTTTGCCTTCTTAATGGTAACAACACACTAGGTAGGGGCACAGCGCCCAGTGCCTGGCGTGGGGTTGGCACCTAATAAACAAAAGCCACCTGCCGCTGTGAGGATGACCCCCAGCTCAGCAGAGACCTGTCCCTGAGCCTCTTCCTGCAGACTCTGTCCTGCGACCCCTGTCGCGGGGCGGCTGGAGGCTTTATCACAGGCCGCCCGCTCTGTCACCCCACCAGGGAGGGGGACTCGAGCAGGCTGTCCCCTGGCAGACCTTGTTGGGCTCAGATTGTCCTCTCCCTGTGTGTCTTTGGGGTAGGAGTGCACACACATGCGCACACGCGTGCATGCGAGTTTTGTCTTCGGGGCTCAGCCTCCTGGTCCCTGCCTTGTCCGGTGCGTCCCAGGCGAGGAGAAGAGGCCCCAAACACCATCCCGGAGACCTGGGGTCCCTGAACAGCTTGGCCATGGGTGGGACCACCCCCGGCTGAGCCTGAACCCTCCTTCCTGAAGACCGCTCGGCTCTCCTAATAGCGGACTTCATTTCGCAACCAGACGGAGCGCCTGCCGCTGGGCCTCTGAGAGACAGGGGACGGGGGGCCTGGGCGAAGAAGTCCTGGTGTGACCATAAGACTCAGCAGCTAGAGCCTGGACCCAATCAATCCCACAAACGAACACTGTGCCGCTTCTCTCTTTGGAAGCACAAAGAGGCCTCTAGAAAGTCTCCACACTGCACAGCTTTCCGAGCGGACAAAGCGCTAACTGGCCGGGGCTGTGTCTTGGTCCCCTGCCATCCCCTGGCACCTCCTGCATGGCCAGCCCTGGCTGCAGCACACAGAGGGCGGGGAGGCCTCCCAGCGGGCCAGCGGGGAGCTGACCGCCTGCCGGGGGTCAGGCCCAAACCCACGGGTAGGCGGGGCCCGTGTGTCACCCAGGAAGACTGGAAGAGGGCGCCATCCGTGGACAACAGACGAGAAATGGGAGGACTCAGAAAAGAGGAAGTTCTCTCACTTCCCCACCCAGAAAAGCCTGAGTGTCTGCAACATACTTGTTGTGGGGGCTCGTTCCACTAACACGTGAAGCGCTCTTACAGCTTAGAAAGAACAAGGCAAAAAGCTGAAACAGAAAAGGGAAAAAGGGCAGGAGCAGGCAGGGCCCAGGAAGGTGCAAAGGTTTTCATCTACAAAAGACGCTCAAATGCCTAGAAAAGAAATACAAACTAAAACGCCAGTGAGATATATAATCCTATCTTTTATGTTTGACATTTTCCATAATGAGAAGTTGGGGGGATTTTTCTTTTTTTTTTTAAGATTCTCTCCTAAAATCAGTAGAAACATATCACTGAGGACATCCCCTGAGAGAGGCATCAGCGTGAGACAGAACATTGGCCAGCAGCCTCCTGCACACGCCCCAACTGAGGGTCAAACCGCAACCCAGGCCTGTGCCCTGAGCGGGGATCAAACCCGTAACCTTCGTCACGGACGACGCTCCAATCAACTGGGCCACCCAGCCAGCGCCATAAGGAAGTTTTGAACTTTTTTAGGAATTACAGAAAAAGTGTAAGCTTTAAGAAGCATATAAAAAAACATTGCCTTATTTGGAGCTTCCCTCAAATAAACTGTAAGGAAAAAAGAGCATGAGACAGGGTTTGGGGGAAGGGCGACCGAGGCAAGGGACACACGCCAGCAGCTACGCAACGGCCCGGGGCTGTCAGGCCCGGCACAGGGGGCCGTGGCGTCGCTGTGCTCGCTGCCCAGGGCGCCTGGGTGCCGGGCTTACCGGGGACCACCTTGTAAAGCGCATGCTTGTCTGACCACTGAGCTGTCCACCTGAAACTCATACAGAATAATATTGAATGTACACCAGCACCGAAATATAACGTTTTTTAAAAGAGCGTACCTAAGTCAGGAAAAGGTAAACACTGACTTTGCTGATATTAGGTGTCTGTTTACTTTTTAGGTATGATAATAGGTAAAAGAAGCCTTATCTTTTGCATAAAAATGCTGAAATGTTTATGGACCGAAGGATCCCATCTCTCAGATTTGCTTCAAAATCCTCCAGAAAGAGGAAAACGGGCGGGGAAATCGGCCTCCAGTGACGGGGCTGCTAGCGGTCATCCCGCTAAGCTCTTTGTACAAATGCCTGAAAATTTAATACTGAAATGTTAAAAACACACACACGTGCACAGTAAGATTTCCGTTTTCATTCACGAGACAGGCAAAGAATCAAAGAGGCAGGCGATGCGCTCCGTCGGCAACCAGCACCCGCCACCCCTTCCACGTGGCGCATTAAACTAGAACCGCCGCTCCGAGGTCGGTTTGCCTTGATGGACCACACAAAGCTGCCCTTTGGCTCAGCGCTGCCACTTGCAGGAGAGTTTCAGACAGAAAAACTCACACCTGATGGACAGTCACTGCATCATTTTTACAAGAGCTAAAAACGAGAACCGAGATGAACCCGCAAGGGCGTGGGCGGGCGACCCCAGGGAGACCTGTCCCCAGAATGGCCGCTCTGCACTTACGAACAAGGAGGGAGCCCCTTCGGTATTAACGTGAAAAGATGCCCCGAGTCCACATGCATGAACTCAGAGAACGATCCAGGCCCGAACAGTGGGAAGAATAACTGAGTTGAAACAAAACAAAGAGGCTGGTGTGAATCGCGACGCGCTTCAAGATAACAGGCTATTTCTGGAAGGTTCACAGGAAACTGGCACCCGCTGGCCTGAGGGAGGGGCTTGTCCTGGGGCCTGGGTGATGGAGCAGGAGGGGCCTGCCCCCCGGGGGTGGTTCCCCCCTGGGCTCGGACAAGATGAATTCTCCTTCACCCCCGAGACTGACCGATGGCCCTGCAGGTGCTCTCGTGGGCCGTGCGGAGAGCAGGGGGCCGGGTGGAAGGGGCGCAGGGGAAGCAGCCGGGCGGCGGGGCGGGCCGGCTGGGACAGCTCCGGCCAGGCTGGGGGTGCGGCAGGAAGGCACCCGCTGTGGAGACCCCCGCTTATCTGCTGCTGAGCCTGCTGGGTAACTGCCTGGATCAGACACGGTGGCTCCACGCCACGTGAGTGTTGCTAAGTGGCTGTCCCCTTGCTGTTCCCAAACAGAGTGTTGCCCCTACACACCTTGTACGCACACACAAACACCCCACCCCAGCCAAACTCCCGTCAGCCAGCGGGCCGGTTACGCAACCCCCGGGCTCCGGCCCCCGCCCGGCCTGTGTCCCCCCTGGGTCACTGGCAACACTCGTCCCCACAGCAGCTGTCATTCCACACTCCGCCCACTCTGGGACAGGGCACAGGGCTGGGGGCAGGAAGGGCAGGGCTGGGGTTTTTGAATGGGGGGCTCTGTCAGGAGAAACTGACCGCTCCCCCCCTGCCTCCCACAGGGGACACAGGGGGCAAAGAGAAGTCACCGGGTGTCCAGGAAGCTTCGAGGTCGCCCTGTCCCTCGTGGCCTGTTTGTCCCCCAGCTCTAGGTGCCCTGGGCCCCACGGCCCTCACCGGGCACTGCCTCTCCCCGCCTGGAAACCCACCTATGACCTGTACGGCCCGTCTCTCCTTTTTCGCCTCAACAGGTCACACAGGAGGCACGGGAAGGGGACACGAGACAACCCCTGGCTCTCTCTCCTAAGACGGGCCCCCGCGGGCCTCCCACCGGCCCTGGCTGCCTGCCCCCAGTCGGGAGGGCGCGGGAACCAACCTCTGCGGGGCCGTCGGCCAGGCCCCCTCTCCTCCAGGGCACTCTCCCCTGCGTGATGAAATCCACCACCTTGGAGTTCTGGAACACGGCCCCCACCAGAGCGATGGCCCTGTCCACGGCCACCATCACCCTGAACAGGGCTTCGAGCCTGGCGCCGTGCTGGGCTGCATCCTGCCGCACGGCCCGCACCAGCTCCAGGACCTCCGGCCACCCCGCCTGCGCGTCCCCTGCGGGGCTGGGGGCGGGGGCGGGGGCGGGGGCAGCCCCGGCCGGGCCCGGGGCTCTGGAGGCCTCCAGCCGGTGCAGGCCCTGCTCCAGGTGGCCCATGCCCTGGCACACGCACTGCAGCTTCTCCGCGACGTCTTCCTGGAAATGCAGGAGCTTGTCGACCTTCTCATGGAGCGCGGTCAGCTTTTTGTCCATGGTGGTTAAGCAGGCCTTGCCCGCCGCCGGCAGCCCTCGGGCCCCCACGCCCTCTTTGGGGGCTCCTGACATCCTGATGCGGGCTTGGCAAGGGGGGCTGTCGGAAGAGCGCAGGGCCCGGTTCACTTGGGCGGCGGCGTCTGCACGTTCCTCATCCCCCGCGGGGAAGAGCCGCCGCAGGGATCACCTGCAGCCGAGGACCAGCAGGCTCTCCTTGAGCCTTTGCTTATCTGCCACTCTGCCGTGAGCCGTGAGTGACAGGCTGCGTTTGGCCCAGGCCCTTATCCTCGGGGCCCCTTTGACATCACGGCAGCACTGAACATTCCTTTCTGAGAGGGTGCTGACGGGCAAGTATTTTAAGAACCCGCCGCCCGCGGGTGGCAGGAGTTTGTGTCGCTGGAATTGAAGGTTAGAAGCAGGGGGTCCTCTAGGCAAAGCGCCTCAAGGCTGGACTCTGCCGGGGGCCTCGGGAGCCCCGGGCACAGGGGGACCGCGCGGACAGGGGCGCAGAGGAGCAGATGGGGCCCCGCCTGCCGCTCGCACAGCTAAGCCCCAGTGCAAAGCAGGACCGAAAACAAACACGAAGCCTCCCGCTTTCCGCCCTGAGCAGCACTGGGTGCTTTGGCCTGTTACCAGCGAGGCGCCGGGGCCCCGGCTTTGCCCCGTCCCGAGCATGTGCTAGGCTGCCCGTGTGGTGGCTCTGCGGGTCCCTCCCACACCAGGCCCTCCGTCACTCGTCACTTGTGCCTAAAAATAGGAGTGAGGAACAATGGCCTCGGTGACTCACCAAGGGCCGTCCCGCAGGTCATGTTCCTCACAGGGACGCTCTGGGGCGCAGCTGCCCGCAGCCCCCGGCTCCCCCACAGCAACGGGGACCGTGCTGCCCACGGCTCCTGGCGTTTTGGCCTCACAGCCCTCGTCTCGAAGGGAACTCTGACAGAAGCAACATTAACTAAATAAAGCAGGGACACGCTCAAGTTGGCACGAGGTTCCCAAGGCTGCCGGGGGCTGCTGCCGGTCCCCTCGCAAGCCCGCCGCGGGAGGCGGCCCGGTCAGCGTGGACGGCGCCCGCGCCGTCCCGTGCACGGCCTCCTGGGGTGGCTCGGCTGGGCCGCGGCCGGGACCCTGGCCGGGCCCTGCGTGCCCGTCTGAGCTCCTCCTTCCGAACACCAGCAATTAGGAGAATAAGCTTTGACCCGGAAACCTGACATCTAAAACCGCCTGCCGTGGTTTTGCTCCTTCAAGTGCTGGGTGAGCCCTGCACACCAGGTGCTCGTCACGGGAGCGCAGCGGCACCTCCAGCACGCCACCCCCTGTCCCGGATGGGGACAGCCACCCTGCGCAGCCCATGCGGAATCCCAGACCGGCATCTGGGGGCGCAGTCCTGGGCGGCAGGGACGCAATGGCCGCGAGGTGCAGAGCGCGGCTACACCCGCTGTCACACGTTCTGTGTTAGTCCCTGTGGCCTAAGACAGACACGCAAACCACCTCTCCTTTAGAACACACCCCGGGGGACCCCCGTGCGCCAGCGGCTCCCGGTGCTTGCTGCGCCCCCTGCAGGACCTCGCTGCCCCAGGCTACGGCAGGGCCGTGGGCAGCACACGCTGAACCCCGAGGCCCCTCGCTGGCCTGGCCGGGACCGCCAGCTTTCCCTTCGGCCCCAGGTGGTGTAAGGCGGGAGCAGAAATGCAAGGCTGAGGGGTCGGTTCCACAGCAGAGGCCGCCCTCTTTTGATGGGCGTGGCGAGGAGCGCCCCCGCCTCCCTGGTGATCGGAGGGCGAGTCCTGGAGGCAGGCGGGGGTCCACACTGCAACAGGCCCAGGTGCTGGCTTCGGGGGCCCGCCAGATCGCCCTCAGCAAAGCCAAGCAGACAAGCCTTAACGACCCACCCATCGGTTTGTGCCTTATTCTGAAATATGCACAGATAAAAAAGGATCGCCAGGCTTCCCAGGGAAGCCCCTGATGAAAAGAGGGCCCGAAGCAAACAAGCAGAAACATCAATGGTGGGGGAAAGTCTTTGAAAGGCTCCCAGCCACAGAAAAGCATAAACATGGAGAAAAAGGCAGGCCTTGGAGAGAAAACAGATGGACGTGAAAGTTTAAAATGCAGGGATTAGAAAATAAAGTTGCTATCGCAGAAAATGGCACTGAAGGAGGAAGACGTGTACACTGGGAGAGAAAACCTAAAGAAGCCAGGCAGTGGGAGTGGCGGGCCCACATCTAATTCAGGGGCGTTTCAAGAGGGTGAAAGGGGGAGGGAACATATCTAGGAAATACTACCGTCCTTACGTAATTCTAAGGCGGAGGGATGAAGCGTATAGTCTCCCCAAAACTTAAGGGGAAAAAAGTTGTACGTCAAAGAACTGAAATCAGCATGACATCAGACTTGTCATCCTAAAAGCAACCGGATGCTGGAAGACAGGTTAGACGCAAAACTTTAAAATTGAAAGCAGTCCTCGAATAGAATGTCCTCGAATTTTGAAGACACTGCGCCTCTGTCAGAGGACAGAGTGAAGAGCTTTAAGACTCACTAAGATGTAAAAAATGTAGGCCCCCTGTTAAAGAAGCTGTTGGGAGGAGACTCCAGCAAAACGAAGGACTAAACAAATAAAAAACGTAGCTCCAGGAAACCACAGCTTTGACTGAGGCGCGAAGGTGAAGCAGAAGGATAGGGATCCCCCACAAGGGAGGACTTCGGGGGGCGAAGACAGTATACAGTATAACATAAAGACACACAGCCACATGTGAAGGGCGTGCGGCCTGGCGTCGGGCTGTCTGGGTTTCACTTCTGCGCCTGCCAGGTTCGGGGGTGGACTCATGGGCCGGCTGACTTCGCCTCGGAGCCTGCGCCTCCTGGGCTGTAACCCGAGAAGAGCGATGCCTACACTCCATGGCGACGTCCGTCCGCCAGTTACGTGAGAAGGTTTACGAGGCACCTGGAAGCGCACTTGGCACATTGTATGTGCTCAAATTTAGCCCCGGTATGATGCTGGCTAATAGGGCAAAGGGGAACAAAAGAAATTAGAGACGCCAAGAAAATCCCAGTTCTCCCGAGAAAGGATGAAGTTAAAGCGCACGATGCATTTTTCAGTGGGCAACAGGTACATAATGGTAGTCATACTGTGCCATCACAAGGTAAATGCTGGGTTCCAACAGAGACGCGCGGACTGTGCGGATGGGGGAGGGAACGTGGGCAGCGAGAGCGAAATCTTCCTTTCTCTGAGCGGGAAGTCCATACACAACATGCAAAATCAGTGAGGAAGGGACGAGGCAAACCCCAGGAGAACAGCCAGAGCCGGCAGCGCGCGTTGGCCGCCGGGGAAGAGGGCGCAGCAGGCTTTGCAGGGGTCAAGGGCACGGCATCGAGGGGCGGCCAACGCAGGCCTATGGTAGGGAAAGGGCTCGTTGTAACAAAACCAAACACCAGGATGATTCTCCGAGAGATGGAGGCCACGCGCCCGGAGGAAGGCGGACTTTCTGGGCCAGCTGCGCGCCTGCCACTTACTTCACCGCAGCTCTCCTCACCTGCGGGGGGCTCAGCACCGCAGCGCTGCATGGGCGGTTGCGAAGCACAGCGCGGGCCCGCGCCGGCCCACGCGGTCTGTGACCACAGCAGAGATCAGAGCTCGCCGCCGGCCCCCCGCCCCAGAGGGCCCGCCAACAGGACGGCATGCGCTCGGTCGCCTCGGCGCAGGTGCAGCCGGGAGGAAGAGGGCCACCTCGCCCGCTGCACTCCACCCCGATGCAGGCCCCAGCAGCTGAGCGTGCAAACGCGTCCCCCACCAGGCAGAGCCAAGTATGGAAGGGGAGACCAGAGGTGAACCAGAACCCCGCCAGCCTCGCAGGCGCCAGAAGCGGCAGCTCTGGGGCCGGCCCCGCTAGGCTTTGTCTGCCCGTGCCCACCCTGTGGGCATCGGGAAGGGCCCGAGCTGGCCATCCCGGGCTGGACCCGGCAACCAAAGCTTCTTCCTGCTCAGTTCCTTGCTCCCAGAAGACCCAGGTCTAGGTTACAACTGCCACCCAGGCTCCCTCAGTCCCGTGACCCTAACAATTGCTCCTCGGGCTCCCACTTCAAAGCAGACCGGCCAGAAGCCGCCCTCACCACAAATATCTGGGCGTAACCTGATGCCCGCGGCCGGCCCCTGGCGCAGGGACTGTGAAGCGCTGGAGGGGGGCACGGAGTCCGCACCCTGCTGCCGCCGCGCACCTCTGCCAGCTCCGTGTCTGCCCCGCCTGCACATGCCCGGCCGCCCCAGCCTGGGAATGAGGGGGCCGGCCAGGACGATTCCTCCAGAACACGGGAGCCCCGATAAGCCCGGCACGCCGCTTATCTCTGAGCCTGTCCCAGCCCCAGGGCGGCGCAGAGGCTTCACTGGGTTATCTGCTGCGCTGGCTCCATCTGCTCCCAGGGGCCCACTTCCTGCATCACTTAGCGCGAGTCTCCAATCGTGAAACAAACACGGCGGGGTCTGGGGAGGGAGGGGAGCAGGGAGAGGGGCGGAACGCAGAGCGGACCTGCGTTCAGACCCCAGAGGCCTGGTGCCGGCCCGGGAGATGGGCTGGGAGTCCCGGTCAGGGCGCCCGAGGACGGAGGGAGGCCTGGCCAGGGGCCGAGTGCGCCAGCAGCCCACCCTGTCCTCACTGGGGCTGCTTGCACCTGACCTGGGAGCCCGGAGGCTCATCTGGAGGCTGCGAGGGTCCAGCTCTTGCCTCTCTAAGTAAAACCATTCAGGAAGCAACAAAGACATCCAGCGCCCGAAGAGGGGGACATGCGGCAGTTAGGGACGGGGCGAGAGGCCAGGTCCCCCTCGGCACCTGCCCTCGGGGGGGCCCCCAGAGCGCTCAGGAGACGCCAGGCCCCCCTACACACGGGCACACCCCCCCCCACTTCCGGACCCCCCATCGCCCGGCCCGGCGACGGGAAGCAGAAGGGGCTGCAGACTTCTGATACGAGCTCGTTTTCTGAGTGACGGCGCTCCCACCGCGGGAAGCGTGTCAGCGGCGACGTCGGATTTAAACCTCGCAACAACCCGGCGACTGTTTGCCGTCCCACTGCACAGAGAGGGGTCCGTCCATCCACCGAACTTAGGTTGCCTGCCCAGGGCCCTGTCGGAAAGCGCTGGGAGCCAGAATTCCAAGCCTGGGCTGAAAACACACAGCGTTCTGCTGACCCCGGACGGAGGGACCTTAGAGACCGGAGAGGTCACCCCCCTCGTTTTACAGATGGAGAATCTGAAGCCGAGGGAGGGGAAGGGACTTTCTGAAGGTCACAGCAG